CACCTGTTTGAACTCATTACCTGTATAAAAGACACCTGTCCACACACTCAATCAAACAGACTCCAACCTCTCCACAATGGCCAAGACCAGAGAGCTGTGTAAGGACATCAGGGATACAATTGTAGACCTGCTGGGATGGGCTACAGGACAATAGGCAAACAGCTTGGTGCAAAGGCAACAACTGTTGGCGCAATTATTAGAAAATGGAAGAAGTTCAAGATGACGGTCAATCACCCTCGGTCTGGGGCTCCATGCAAGATCTCACCTCGTGGGGCATCAATGATCATAAGGAAGGTGAGGGATCAGCCCAGAACTACACGGCAGGACCTGGTCAATGACCTGAAGAGAGCTGGGACCACAGTCTCAAAGAAAACCATTAGTAACACACTACGCCGTCATGGATTAAAATCCTGCAGCGCACGCAAGGTCCCCCTGCTCAAGCAAGCGCATGTCCAGGCCCATCTGAAGTTTGCCAGTGACCATCTGGATGATCCAGAGGAGGAATGGGAGAAGGTCATGTGGTCTGATGAGACAAAAATAGAGCTTTTTGGTCTAAACTCCACTCGCCGTGTTTGGAGGAAGAAGAAGGATGAGTACAACCCCAAGAACACCATCCCAACCGTGAAGCATGGAGGTGGAAACATAATTCTTTGGGGATGCTTTTCTGCAAAGGGGACAGGACGACTGCACCGTATTGAGGGGAGGATGGATGGGGCCATGTATCGCGAGATCTTGGCCAACAACCTCCTTCCCTCAGTAAGAGCATTGAAGATGGGTCGTGGCTGGGTCTTCCAGCATGACAACGACCCGAAACACACAGCCAGGGCAACTAAGGAGTGGCTCCGTAAGAAGCATCTCAAGGTCCTGGAGTGGCCTAGCCAGTCTCCAGACCTGAACCCAATAGAAAATCTTTGGAGGGAGCTGAAAGTCCGTATTGCCCAGCGACAGCCCCGAAACATGAAGGATCTGGAGAAGGTCTGTATGGAGGAGTGGGCCAAAATCCCTGCTGCAGTGTGTGCAAACCTGGTCAAGACCTACAGGAAACGTATGATCTCTGTAATTGCAAACAAAGGTTTCTGTACCAAATATTAAGTTCTGCTTTTCTGATGTATCAAATACTTATGTCATGCAATAAAATGCAAATTAATTACTTAAAAATCATACAATGTGATTTTCTGGATTTTTGTTTTAGATTCCATCTCTCACAGTTGAAGTGTACCTATGATAAAAATTACAGACCTCTACATGCTTTGTAAGTAGGAGAACCTGCAAAATTGGCAGTGTATGAAATACTTGTTCTCCCCACTGTATGTTGACTATGACGTTATTAGCTAATATGGTGACAATGATGTAGGCTGTGTGTAGCGGTTAGTGGTTATTATGAAGGTTTGGCTTGGAACCTGGTCACAGACTGCTGACGTGTTGTGCACTGAAGTCCATAAGTGAAGCGAAAAGTTGAGAGGACAGCACGTAGATGCGAAAAGGAATTATGCAAAGAGCAAAATGTTCATGCTGTTTGTGTGTGGCTGCTATGAAAGTGAACTGTATTTGCGTGTGATCAGGGGTGTATTTATTCTGCCGATTCTGTTGAACGTTTCTTAAACGGAACGAAACGGCAAGAGGGTGCAAGGTGGTATTGAATGTGTCACTGTCTGTCACCTTGATTACAAAAATGTCTCTCAACCTGTGCACCTATGTTGTAAGCTTTCATTCATAGGCTAGGTTGCAGCATCCTCGTGATGGGTATAGGGAAAATTAGAGTATCATGTAGTAGCCTAAACCTATCGACGTTACATGGAACTGGGTGAATGGAATATGAATGACAGTCATCTAATATGCTGTAATAGAAATAAGGCCATGCTCATGAAAACAATAATCGTTCTCCCTCATCTTAAACGGCAACGACCGCCACTGCACTTACAAGGATTGAGAATCCATTTCCACCTTTCGTCAGAGCCAGAGAAGAAGAGGTGAAGCGAGAGGGATTACTCAGCCCACGAACATAAGACCACGAAGTGAGGAATTTTTGTATGGAGGTCAATGAGAGATTGTTAAATTTGGTCAACAAAAAATGGAATAGCTAATTTCCTACGTGAGCCTTATTTGATTGAATAGAAGTTTCGTAATGTTTATTTTGTTACGAATGCAGTGATAGAAGTGGACACGTGGCATTTCGGCAACTTTGAAAAAAGCTACTTAACCCTCCCGTTGTCCTAGGGTCAAAATGACCCGCCAGAAAGTATCACTGCCTCCTTCTCACAAATGTTCCAAAAAATATAAAAATTAAATAAAGTTGGTTCAACACAGTGGCGGGTCATTTTGACCCTAGGACAACGGGAGGGTTAATATCTGAGTTGTGCCTGTTGTTCACACGCATATCTGCCCTCTCATTGGTTAGAATGGTCCCACCTGATCTCGCCTCCTCTCGCCTGCCTTCCATCTTTGAGGACATGCATTTCCATTGTTATAGCAGTCGCGCAACCATCTTGTCAATATAAAAGATCATATTTGTCGGAGCCCTATTTGAAAATTGTGGGAGGCAACCATTGAGATATAAAATGTCTACAACCAGAGAGGAAGAGAGAGGTCCAACTTGGCGAAAAATCTGTCTCCCTCCAGCAGGTGGCGGTGTTTCGTTGTTTCGCCCACCAAGCAAGGAGTTTTTGTATGGAGGTCAATGAGTGTCGAATTTGGTCAACAACAAAAAATGAATGGCTTATTTGCCAGGTGAGGTTTATTTGATCGAATATAAGTTACCACAGCCAAAGGCAGAAGGCCCGCCTACTCGACCAATCAGATGAGGGAGTGTGATGACGCGTATACTGCAGGGGCAGACGAGAGACATGTATTTATTTTATCTAGTGATCCATTAATAATTTTAGTTATTCATTAGCTTTTAATAAAACCAACCGTTCTAAATGTAAAGTGCTAATCAGATGTCTTATTCAAACTCAGCTTGCAAGCCTACTGTATCGGGTTTAGTCCAATATCTGCATTGTTTTCCAAATGGCATGTAGACCAACAACTTGACACATCTTTATTTTGTAACTTTATTTTCAAAATCCACAAGTAAAACGTACACAGTTTCACAGAAATTTCAATTTTATCAATTGGCTGATTTTAAGAAACTTCAACCCTGTTACTTTATTTGGCACCAAATAAAGAATGTTAAGTCATTTTATTTAACTTAACATAGCCTTGCAGTCCACCTTTTTGGTATTTTGTACCAGTTTCCACCACTGTGGTAAAGCGGCCTTTACTGGGTCTAACAGCGGACCTATCAGCTTGCTGCCAGCTCTTAGCAAACTGTTGAAAAAAATTGTATTTGACCAAATACAATGCTATTTCCCTGTAAACAAATTAACAACAGACTTTCAACATGATTATAGAAAAGGGTACTCAATATGTAATGCATTGACACAAATTACTGATGATTGGTTGAAAGAAATTGATAATAAGAAGATTGTGGGAGCTGTACTGTTAGATTTCAGTGCAGCCTTTTGATATTATTGACCATAACCTGTTGAGAAAATGTATGTGTTATGGCTTTTCAACCTCTGCCATATGAACTCAGAGGGTTTTCTTTAATGGAAGCTTCTCTAATGTCAAACATGTAAAGTGTGGTGTACCGCAGGGCAGCTCTCTAGGCCTTCTACTCTTTTGTATTTTTACCAATGACCTGCCACTGGCATTAAACAAAGCATGTGTGTCCATGTACAGTGCGTTCGGAAAGTATTCAGACCCCTTGACTTTTTCCACATTTTGTTGCGTTACAGCCTTATTCTAAAATGGATTACATTTTTGTCCCCATCAATCTACACACAAAATACTCCATAATGACAAAGCAAAAACAGGTTTAATGAAAATTCTGCTAATGTATAAAAACAAAAATAATGCCACCACCATGCTTCACCGTAGGGATGGTGCCAGGTTTCTTCCAAACGTGACGCTTGGCATTCAGGATAAAAGTGTTCAATCTTGGTTTCATCAGACCAGAGAATCTTTTTTCTGATGAGAGTCTTTAGGTGCCTTTTGGCAAACTCCAAGCAGGCTGTCTTGTGCCTTTTTACTGAAGAGTGGCTTCCGTCTGGCCACTATATCATAAAGGCACCTAAAGACTCTCATCAGAAAAAAGATTATCTGGTCTGTCGCCAATCACACTGTACAAAAGCATGGTCTTCAGGCTGTGGAAGATGGCAAAACCATTTAATAATTGATTGGATTTAAATGGCACTTTTCTAGACACCCAAAGCTCTTTTACAGTGTAAGAGGAAACTCACCACCCTAACCCCACTGACATACTCTTTATATTGTATTGCATTGGTCCATCCACCCCCTTCTTTGGAGGACAAAAGTAACTTTGTTTGAAATGTTTGTTTTTTACAGCTATTGTTACAAATACATTATTCATACTCTTTACATACATGGTGCTTTTATAGACAGTATTACACGATAGGAATACAGTTTGATATACACATCAAATGGTACTCATCATGACATACTCTTGCAATAAGTGACATGGGATCTTTAGTGACCACAGAGTTAGAACACCCGTTTTTAAAGTCCCATCTTCAATTTTATTGAGGAGCATTCCACTGTTAGTACTACAACATTATTAAAATGAAATTAATGTTGTTAAGGTGTGTGGTGTAAATTACAGTGCTCCGTCTTTGAGTTTACTGCCGCCTTGTTCACTTCAGCAGCATATTTCTCTTTGGCTGTTGTTTGCCTGGCTTTCCCCCTCTCTGTGCGCACAATTTACCCATTTGCCCAAAACTTTCGTCCTTTCTCAATGTTATGAATTTTAGGTGACATTTGCCAATTCGTGTTCGGAATGTCTAGTAATTTGGTCCAAACTTGAACACAAGATATTCGATTTTCGAAAATGATGCGTTTCCCATGAACCGGAACAACGCGTCATCACACTCTCTCGTCTGATTGGTTGAGCCTTCTGACTTTGTGGCTGTGGTAACTAGTGACTAGCATAAAAGAACGGGAGGCAACGCGGATGTCTAGAGCATACGGTCATTGGTCTAAACGAGAGTCTACGTCCGGGCACGTTATTGTTGCATCAGAAATTGTAGACAGGTGATATGTCAAGCTCGGGAGGGTTAGGTAAGTATTGTAATCGATGCATGTTTTTAATATTTCCAGATATCAGCAGCGGCTCTTGAAGGCAAATGCGTTTATTCATAATTTGAGGCGCGTTCTCAGACTTGAAATTATTGCAGGATATTGAATGTTGGCTATGGTAAGGCTAGCTATTTCAATAGTAAATTAAATGAATACACACCTACAGCGTCATTGGGCAAAATGTACGCAGCATCACCTGGAGATGTGTGCAACAAAAGTTCAACATTCACCTTCTGCTACCATTTCTGTCAAGCCATCTACGCATACAATTTGATGCATATGTTCGATAAATCCAACGTATGCACCACACAGAACGCACTGCAACGCAATGCTGTAAGGCAAACGCAGCGTTCCATTGGAAATTAAAATGTACTTCTTGTGGAAGCTGTCGGTGTGATCAAGCGTCCTGAATATATTTAAATTAAAGCCCGTTAGTGTCGATTGCAGCTAGTAGTACTAGTTATGGTCATACTACCGTATTCCTGGAAAAGGCTGAATCAAGATTTCACAATGAATGTCCAGAACATGAGTAATGACGAGGGCTGGAGAGTGACAGAAGATAAAAGTGTTGTGTGAAAATAGTCCTGACCAGTGTACTGGTGGCTGCGTGATGCGCGGTACACCAGTCACGACTATTTTAACAGAATACTCATAGCTACTGTTTCCATCGCTTGTCATGAGTCCTGTAATGAAAAAAATAACTGTTGTATTGTCACATTAATTGTGAAAGCGAAAGCTCGATTTCCATCGCTTGTCAGGAGTCGTGTTCTGAAAAAAATAAATGTTGTATTGTCACATTAATTGTGAAAGCGAAAGCTCGATTCGACATTTTCCAGGAATATGGTAGTATAACCATAAATGGTGACAATACAACAGTTTGTGAAAATATTTGCTACTACTGCTAGCTAGTCTTCTACAAACAGTATCTCAACATTGTTAAAGGGACATTTTAAGATTTCCTCCTGCACTGTTATGATCATAATACAGCTGTCATAACAACCAATGATGGGGTCAAAACCCAAAATGGAAGGTCAATACAGCATTGTTTGTTGTCGTTTGAGTATTTGTAAATAAACAATGAATATACTGTATATGATGCACATCTCATTGCATCCTATAACTCCATTTATGAATTTGACAGGTTAGACTCTCATCTGCCAGTTCACCAAACAAAGTGGCAGGGTCAGGTTGTTGAAATGATAGCTTGGGCCTTTAAGTTAAACAAAATCAGATGAAATAGCCAAAGCTACTAGCCAGCTATCCGCTTTCAAATGGCATTGATCAGCAAGAGGTTTGATTAACAAATACAGCAGCACGAAGTTATTGGCCATCAATTCTTTGCCATGTCTAGACACCGAAACCAATCCCAATTAGTTTGTTTTTCAATGGTGTGTTGTCGGTGTGGGTGAATGTGTGCTGTCTTGTTTTCTACAGCCTTTGATTATGGCTTCTTGCTGCACACACGTGACGAGGTCACCGCCACCATGGCCCTGAATGAGTACCTGAGCTCCCGCAGCTACCTGGCTGGGTTCAGCCCCTCTCGGGCGGACCAGGAGGCCTTTGAGCTCCTGCACAGGCCCCCGGCCCCGCAGCACGTGCACGCTCTGCGTTGGTACAGGCACATAGCAGCCCTGCAGCGGGACACCCCCAGCCCAGATAGCAGCAGTGAGTAGAGTCCAGGGCCCATGGCCTGGACAGGATAGGGATGCTCCCCTTAGACTAGAGTAGCCCACTGCATAAGGGCAGTCATGGCATCCCCCCCCCCCCTATACTAGACCAATAGTGCATGGTTACTTTGGATTGTTGGAATGTCGGCTATAGTAAGGTTAGCTTTTTCAATTGCCAATGAAATTAATGCCATTCTTCTAGCTATGATCAGGCGTCCCGGATGTATTTAAATCGGGGATGGGCACCTTTGATGGGGGTGAGGGACACAAAAAAACTCCTCATGAGGGGCTGGAGTGGCTCGTGGGTAAAGGTTGATTTTCGCTTTCACAATGAATGTGACCTTTCACTGCACCTATCTAGTGTAGGTGACAATACAAGTTTTTTTTTTTTTTTTTTTTTTTTTCCATGTCCAGAACATGAGTCATGACAAACGCTGGAGACTTTGACAGTAGCTATGAGTATTCTGTGAAAATAGTCCTGACCGTTGTGCTGGTGGCTGCGTGATGCTCGGTACACCGGTCACGACTATTTTCACAGAATCCTCGTAGCTACTGTCTCCAGCGCTTGTCATGACTCATGTTCTAAAAAATAAATATGTTTTATTGTCACACACAACGGATGGTTGCAGTGAAATGTGACATTCATTGTGAACGCGAAAGCTCAATTCAACCTTTTCCAGGAATATGGTAGTACAACAATAAATGGTACTAGCTGGTCACTTTAGTTTCAGGCTTATGGCGATACCCTTGTGATCTGCTGACAGCCCCTCATTGGCATGATTAGCATAATGTTTTTGTTTTTTTGTCCTGTATTCTTTTGTCAACAGTGTTAAAGGCTAGTGGCAGGAGGACCACCGTTTTTGTTGATTAATTTGAGTATTTCCCAGCCCTGATTTTTCCCATCACACCTGTGTTCCTTCCTGTGTGGGTTTTGTGTTTGTTTGTGACACGCACTTTGAGGGCTAGCTAGTGTGTTGCTTTCCACTCCTCCCCCCACACAAACTAGGCCTACTGTTAGCAGGCCTGCAGCGTTGATGAAGGCCCACCGACTGCATTGTGTGCTGTGCTCTGGAGACCAGGGCCCAGATTCACAAAACCTTCCTAAGAATACATTTCTTAAGAAGATTACGTTTTTGTGTAAGAAGTGTTTTGTGAATCTGGGCCGGGGGGGGGGGTGTTATCATAGCGGTGACTTGCATACCCTCAGACAGTTGCCCGCTCAAATCACCACTCAAAATGCCTCAACCGTTTTAAATGGGGAATCCAGCGATTTGACAGAATTCAATCATTTGCCTGACCTTAAATGTGACACCATTTTAACAGCATACCCTTTTCAGAGAAAAGTTTGACTAATGTTCTTATAAAATGTGTCCTGTGTTTTTTTTTTTAGTAAAGGGAAAGCGGGTCCAGCCCCCCTGGTCTGCCCCAGCCGGGTCCAACGTGCCAAAGCTGAGACTCTACAACAGCCTCACACGCACCAAGGTGACATTTTTACCTTATTTTGTTTTGCTTGTTTCAGAGCCCTTTTGAATGGCTGAATCCTTATGATCAAATAGGAAAGAAGGACAATGAATGTCAATGACCGCATAAAGGTTTAGATTTTGATCCCATCTCTGTAGCTCAGTTGGTAGAGCATGGCAATTGTGACGCCAGGGTAGTGGGTTCGATTCCCGGGACCACCCATACGTAAAATGTATGCATGCATGACTGTAAGTCGCTTTGGATAAAAGCGTCTGCTAAATGGCATTGACTATTATTAATACCGTAGTGTTATTATTGCAGGAGCTGTTTGTTCCCCAGAATGGAAACAAGGTGCTGTGGTACTGCTGCGGACCCACTGTCTATGATGCCTCTCACATGGGACATGCCAGGTAAAGTTCAGTTCAGGAAGTAACAAGACTAGCAGTTTGACAGCCATACCTCTCCACAGAGCGGTTTAGTCCAATAGGTTTAGTCCAATAGTCACAAATAGAAGAAGAAAACAGAAATATGTCAATGTGCAGGTGAGGTGGCAAACCTGATAAGGGCTTACAACTCACCTAACTGGCATTTCAATTACTTTAAAGGTGCAATATGTAACTTTTTGGTTGACCTGACAAATTCACATAGAAATGTGTGTTATAGATCTGTCATTCTCATTGAAAGCAAGTCTAAGAAGCGGTAGATCTGTTCTATATGTGCTATTTCTATGCTGTCCGTTCTAAAGTTTTGTTTTTGAGTTTTTTACTTTCGGTTTTGTACACCAGCTGAAAATACAACATTTTTGGTTATGGAGAATATATTTAACAGCGGTTTAGATGGTACAATGAGTCTCTACACTATACTTGCTTGTTTTGTCACATAAACTGAAATTAGGCAAACTATTAGAATTTGAGCAACCAGTAAATGGTGGAGTGATTTCTGCATAGTGCATCTTTTAATGATGACATTTTGATAATTACATTTTTATGGAACAGACGGTCATACTTTCCTGACTCATAACTGTTCTTGAAAATAATAGTCTAGAACTAAGACTATTTCCTGCTGTAGAACGTTCAAATCAGTTTACAGATGTGTGTTCAAATCGGTGTGTCCAAATCAAATGATTGATTCCTTTGTTTTCCAGATCTTACATATCTTTCGATATCCTCCGAAGGATACTGATGAACTATTTCAAATATGACGTGTTCTACTGCATGAACATCACTGACATAGATGACAAGGTAACCAGCAATGAAGCAGTGATTGTACAAAACAACATATTGTGCCCTTCTGTTGTGCTAACTGAATGGTTGGCTGAATGGTCAGTGATAATTTCTCTTGTCTGTCAGATCATCAGGCGGGCCAGACAGAACTACCTCCTGGAACAGTACAGGGAGAAGAAGCCAGCGGTTGCCCAGATACTGCAGGATGTCCTTAGTGCCAGAGGGGTAAGACATCAAACTTCTATAGTTTCTATAAAGTTCATGACAAATGAATCAGTCGTTATTTACAGGTGTGGCTGCGTGATTGGTCATCTGTTGAACAGTGTTTGGCATGTCCTGGGCATACTTTCAGGTTCTAAAGTTCACCCCTGTGTGGTGGGTGCAAATGAACCAGTCACACATATATAGAGAGAGAGAGGTGAACTTTGGCGCTGGATGCCACATTACCACCTCAAAACATTCCATTCACTCCATATATATCATTTGCAGCCCTTCCAGGCCAAGCTGGCCGAGACCACAGACCCAGACAAGAAACAGATGCTGGAGAGGCTGGACTCTGCCGTCTCTGCTGCCCTGGGACCCCTGCAGGGGGCGGTGGAGAGCAAGGCTGGGGAGGCTGACATACAACGCCTGGCTCAGGTAAGATTTCCTCCCTGCTGTGCAACATGAATCTCTATGGCTCCAGATAAGTCAAATACACTTCCAGAGGTTTGGACTGAGCTAGAAAGTCAAGTCACATTTTATTGTCTCGACACAGTCCAGTGGAGGCTGCTGAGGGGATGGCTCATAATAATGGCCGGAATTACATTTTTTATTTAACCAGGTAAGCCAGTTGAGAACAAGTTCTCATTTACAACTGCAAATGGATGGAGCAAATGGAATGGCATCAAACACCTGGAAACCAAGTGTTTGACGTACTTGATACCATTCCACTGATTCCACTCCAGTCATTACCACAAGCCCCGTCCTCCCCAATTAAGTTGCAACCAACCAACCTCCTGTGAGACAATTTTACGAAAAAGAAAACAACATAACAGAAGTCAAATGTGTTCTTTTTTTTGAAGGTGTTACTGGAGGAGGCCAAAGACCTGCTGTCTGATTGGTTGGATGCTCAGTTTGGCAGTCAAGTGACCGAGAACTCCATCTTCTCTCTTCTTCCAAAGTTCTGGGAAGGGGAGTACCACAAGGACATGGACGCCTTGAATGTAGGTGGAAGCGCACACAACTCGTATAACGTTCATATTTATAATGAATTGTTAATAGTATTTTACTATGAACTTTTCTAGTGCCAATGCTTCTTATCAGAGGAGCACACATAACTATCATGTCACATGACCTGAATTTGTACCTTTTTATTGAAAGCTTTTTCATCAAACTGTCCCCTTTTCGTTCTGTCAGATAGTCCAGTACCATCCTCTGATAATGATAATAATAATAATGATGATGATGATCCTCTGATAATTGCTACTAATTTCTGGATAAGGGTTAAAACACAGGATGAAATATTATTTCACATGATTGTGCAAAAACATGGGGCCCTATGATTTAAACCATGCAGTAATGTAACATTTAATATTTCTAATTGTTAATCATATTTTACTATTAAAATTACTAATTTTCTAGTGCCAATCTGATGGTGATTGGTAAATCACTGATTTCCCCACCTGTTCTGTGTGCAACCCCCAGGTCCTTCCCCCAGACGTACTCACCCGGGTCAGCGAGTACTGCCCAGAGATCGTGGACTTTGTGAAGAAGATCCTAGACAATGGCTTCGGGTAAGGGAGAAATGGTCTCTGTTAACAGTCAGGCCTCCATCCTCCTATATAGTTTTAAAACAAGTCTTTGTTCATCTCTCTCTCACTCGGGTTATTTGTCTTTTCCTGACGGCAGGTACGAGTCCAACGGTTCCGTTTATTTTGACACAGCCAAGTTTGACACCAGCCAGAAGCATGCGTACGGCAAGCTGGTACCTGAAGCGGTCGGTGACATGAAAGCTTTGCAGGAGGGAGAGGGTAACAACAATGATAATATCAGTCATTTATAAACCACTTTAAAAAACAAAAAAACTAAGGGCTACAATGTATGCGAGTCATTGGTTGTCCACTGTGGCCTGCAGGAGACCTGAGTGTCTCGGCAGACCAGCTCAGTGAGAAGAGGTCGCAGAATGACTTCGCCCTGTGGAAGGCCTCTAAGCCGGGGGAGCCGTCCTGGGACTCGCCCTGGGGAAAGGGACGTCCAGGCTGGCATATCGAATGTTCCGCTATGGCTGGTTCCATCTTGGGAGAATCCATGGACATCCACGGGGGAGGGTTTGACCTCAGATTCCCCCATCACGATAATGAGTTGGCTCAGTCCGAGGTAAGAGTTTTTTTTTTAGTCTCAAGTGATCTGTTTCTATGACATGGACGGTGGTCCGATTTGTGCACTCCCAAGTGTGCACTTGTTCACTCCCCCTCTAGGATTTGAAAGCATTGGAAGGCGTGAGCATGGGCTATAGTAGCAGCATATTTCTTACTCCAGTTCATTCCTTATAAAGTCCACAAGGGCAAGTGAATGAGTGCACACTTCGGGGAGAAGGGTAGGGAATTGGAACGCAACCGTAGTATTCGAGTGGAATAACAAGCAGGATACTTGTTCCACGCAGGCTTACTTTGAGAACGACCACTGGGTTCGCTACTTCCTGCACACTGGTCACCTGACCATCGCAGGTTGCAAGATGTCCAAATCTCTCAAGAACTTCATCACCATCAAGGATGCCCTGGCGAAGAACACAGGTGAAGAGACTTCTCAGTAGCCACAAAAACAATGGCTTTATGTTATGTCAATGTGGGTGTCAGGAGTATTTGTGTGCGTGCGTGGCGTCTGCGTGCAAGGTAACAGCTGTTCTCTGTGTGTTCCCCTCAGCTCGGCAGCTCCGTCTAGCCTTCCTGATGCATTCCTGGAAGGACACCCTGGATTACTCCCCCAACACCATGGAGTCAGCTGTCCACTATGAAAAATTCCTGAATGTAAGTGATCTAGCCCAGGGGTGCACCTCTATAGTTTTAAAGGGGTGTAGTTTGACATTTTGGCAGCTAAGCCCTTTTATGTCACTGTGTGCAGTTTAAAGGTAGTTTCCTAGAGCCCAGGGCCTGCGTTATGGCCGGGTCTTAGAGGGGCCTGGCCCGCCCTACCGTACCTCCTTGCCCGTCTAAAATCAAATATTTCAATATTGATTATTTATTTGACCGAGATGGACGCTGACAAGTATCCGAGCGAGCGAAACAGCGCCCCTCTGTCTCAGTATGTGTAGCCCATGTATCTGATGCTATCTGGCCAAAAAGAGTATAACATGTCATCATTGTTTGGGCCAGACTGCATCAGATACATGGGCTACATACAGTAAGACAGAGGTGCTGCTTCGCTCGCTCGGATGCTTTCTCCGGTCAGATGGTTTCAGACACTTGTGAATTGAAGGAAAGTTGGCCGGTGCACTGTTCGGATGCTGTAATTATTTGGGACGAACGTACGAAGGTAACTTACTTTTTCAAGTGATTTGTTTGACAATTGGATGAAAACATCATGACTGATTTTGTGTTCATGCCACATTAAAAGCTAATACATGTTTACAGTTAAATGACATGTCTTTACTATAAAACCCGTAAAAAAAAAAAAAAAATGACATGCCATACTCTTTTTGGCCAGATAGCGTCAGATACATGGGCTACACATACTGAGACAGAGGGGCGCTGTTTCGCTCGCTCGGATACTTCTTGGCGTGCATCTCGGTCAAATAAATTGTGGAAGTCCAAATGCCTGTCCAACTGATTCATTCTGGCGCCGGCCCTGACTGAGCCATTGCCAACTAGCGTTAGCGCAATGACTGGAAGTCTACAGGAACAGCTAGCATGTTCGTGTAGGAGTGTTTTATTGTCATTGAATAGTTTTGTTTTCTTCTTCTATCCGGCTCGAAGGACTCAGTGCACCTGTTCGAGTCCGCTGACCACGAGGTTCTTCTTCCTCTCCTCACAGGAGTTTTTCCTCAACGTCAAAGACATTCTCAGAGCTCCCTGTGACATCACCGGACAGTTTGAGAAGTGGGAGGCAGCCGAGATGGAGCTCAACGAGAGGTGAGGGGAGAAACATTACAAGCCTGGTGTTAACGATCAGGTTTGGTAATGATGCCTTTCGTTATGTGGTCGTTAAAGTCACTTGGCGCCTGGCCTGGAGTTACCTTTTTTGAAACCTCTAACGAGGCATGGCACACTAAAATCTATACATCTGAAGGCTTCATTTAAAAAAACATTTTTAGTCATTTAGCAGACGCTCTTATCCAGAGCGACTTACAGTTAGTGCATACATTATTTGATTTTTGTCATACCCCCCCGTGGGAATCGAACCCACAACCCTGGCGTTCGCAAACGCCATGCTCTACCAACTGAGCTACATCCCTGCCGGCCATTCCCTCCCCTACCCTGGACGACGCTGGGCCAATTGCGCGCCGCCCCATGGGTCTCCCGGTCGCGGCCGGCTACGACAGAGCCTTCAATAAGGTTTCAGTGGTTCAAGCTTCATAACAGAATTTTTGTAAAGAGTGCTGATGTAACCTTAGTAGTCGTTTGTCATTCCATGTCATGTTTTATGACAACCCTGTGTTGCAGGTGTAAGGGAGTCCTCAAATAAAGTACCTCTTCATCATGTGCTCTGAATGACTGCCCCCTGTAGGCAGCTCACTGTGTAGACTAGAGAGTAAACCCCGCCCACTCCTCCATTGACCCTGTCTGTGTAGTTTCTATGAGAGTAAACCCCGCCCACTCCTCCATTGACCCTGTCTGTGTAGTTTCTATGAGTAAACCCCACCCACTCCTCCATTGTCCCTGTCTGTGTAGTTTCTATGAGTAAACCCCGCCCACTCCTCCATTGTCCCTGTCTGTGTAGTTTCTATGAGTAAACCCCGCCCACTCCTCCATTGACCCTGTCTGTGTAGTTTCTATGAGTAAACCCCACCCACTCCTCCATTGACCCTGTCTGTGTAGTTTCTATGAGTAAACCCCGCCCACTCCTCCATTGTCCCTGTCTGTGTAGTTTCTATGAGAGTAAACCCCGCCCACTCCTCCATTGTCCCTGTCTGTAGTTTCTATGAGAGGAAGGCAGCAGTCCATGAGGCGCTGTGTGACAACGTGGACACGCGCAGCACCATGGAGGAGATGAGGGTGCTGGTGACCCAGAGCAACACCTACATAGCCAGCAGGAAGAGCTCCAAGCTGCAGCCCAACCGCATGCTGATGAAGAGCATCGCTCTCTACCTGACTGACATGCTCAAGGTGAGGGAGAGTTTGTGCAGCATACCAGGGGGTGTATTCATTAATTGCACACTGTTGCAAAATGTTTTGCACCATAGCAAGACGTTTTGCAACCAAAAATGAGTTTCTATTGGACAAATTCAGTCCCCTCCCTCTTTCATTACGTTTGCTTTTGTTTGGTTCCTAGTAAATACATCCCAGTATTACTCACAAGACTAGAGCTGAAGTCTGCTGTGCAAGATAAACCCATTTGAATGAGCCATCTCATGACAAAACAACGGTGCCATCACATAAATCTTGTGAATACATTCAGTATTAAAAATGACAAGCGATGTAGAAAGTGAAAACGGGTCACGTGATATTTACACCACTGTAGCTAAGCGGTAAGATAGAAACCTGTTCAGTCCTTTTACAGATCAGGAGACCACATCCTTTTGTTCTGATCCATTTCTCTATCCCTGTCTGTGTTGTAGACCTTTGGGGCCATTGAAGGGTCAGAGCCTATTGGATTCCCAGTGGGAGGAGATGGTCAGCATGTGGATGTAAGTATTGAGCTGGAGATAACAGGTTGCTTCTTGGCAGTCGAGGTGCTTTCAACATGATCTACTGTTAGGATTAGCCACTTTTCAACATGCTCTACTGTTGGGATTAGCCACTTTTCAACATGATATACTGTTGGGATTAGCCACCTTTCAACATGATATACTGTTGGGATTAGCCACCTTTCAACATGATATACTGTTGGGATTAGCCACCTTTCAACATGCTATACTGTTGGGATTAGCCACCTTTCAACATGCTATACTGTTGGGATTAGCCACCTTTCAACATGCTATACTGTTGGGATTAGCCACCTTTTCAACATGCTATACTGTTGGGATTAGCCACCTTTCAACATGCTATACTGTTGGGATTAGCCACCTGTCCCTTCAACATGCTATACTGTTGGGATTAGCACCTTTCAACATGCTATACTGTTGGATTAGCCACCTTTCAACATGCTATACTGTTGGGATTAGCCACCTTTCAAAATGCTATACTGTTAGGATTAGCCACCTTTCAACATGCTATACTGTTGGTAATTAGCCACCTTTCAAAATGCAATACTGTTGGTAATTAGCCACCTTTCAACATGATATACTGTTGGGATTAGCCACCTTTCAAAATGCAATACTGTTGGGATTAGCCACCTTTCAAAATGCTATACTGTTAGGATTAGCCACCTTTCAAAATGCTATACTGTTGGTAATTAGCCACCTTTCAACATGATATACTGTTGGGATTAGCCACCTTTCAAAATGCTATACTGTTGGTAATTAGCCACCTTTCAACATGATATACTGTTGGGATTAGCCACCTTTCAAAATGCAATACTGTTGGGATTAGCCACCTTTCAACATGCTATACTGTTGGTGATTTGCATCCTTTCAACATGCTACACTGTTGGGATTAGCCACTTTTCAACATGCTACACTGTTGGTATTAGCCACTTTTCAACATGATATACTGTTGGAATTAGCCACCTTTCAACATGCTACGCTGTTGGGGATTAGCCACCTTTCAACATGCTACACTGTTGGGATTAGCCACCTTTTAACATGCTACACTGTTGGGATTAGCCACCTTTCAACATGCTACACTGTTGGGATTAGCCACCTTTCAACATGCTACACTGTTGGGATGAGCCACTTTTCAACATGCTACACTGTTGGGATGAGCCACCTTTCAACATGCTACACTGTTGGGATGAGCCACCTTTCAACATGCTACACTGTTGGGATGAGCCACCTTTCAACATGCTACACTGTTGGGATTAGCCACCTTTCAACATGCTGCACTGTTGGGATTAGCCACCTTTCAACATGCTATACTGTTGGGATTAGCCACCTTTCAACATGCTGCACTGTTGGGATTAGCCACCTTTCAACATGCTATACTGTTGGGATTAGCCACCAGCATCTCTCCTCATAGTTTGTAGTGGTCCTCTGTAGCTCAGTATGGCGCTTGCAACGCCAGGATAGTGTGTTTGATTCCCGGGATCACCCATATTTATGCATGCATGACTAAATCACTTTGGATTTTAAAATAAATCCTATTGTTGTTATTATATCCGTGTTCTCGTAGACGTTGCGATTCTGTGTACGTTTCCACTCAAGCTAACTGAGGCTGCTTGCAGATGGAGAACACGGTGATGCCCTATCTGAAGGTGCTGTCAGACTTCAGAGAATCCGTTCGCAAAATCGCCAGAGAACAGAACGGTAAATACTTCCTCCCAAGTTATTCAAAGAAAAATGACATTTAACACGGTTGCCTGCTGCTGGAGATGTGAGGATTGTATACGTGGTGACTGACTCTGTCTGTGTTCTCAGTGACAGAGGTGCTACAGCTGTGTGACGGGGTCCGTGATGACACCTTACCTGAGCTGGGGGTGCGTCTAGAAGATCATGAAGGTAAAGCCACTGACCACAATATGTACACACACACACACACACACACACACTGCTTTTTATAGATCAACAAAAACTAGTAGCAGCCAGAGTCGTGACTGTGTTATCTTGTCGTCGTTAGGCCTTCCCACGGTGGTGAAGCTGGTGGATAAAGAAACGCTCCTGAGGGAGAAGAATGAGAAAAAGAAGATGGAGGACGAGAAGAAGATAAAAAAAGAGGAGGCTGCCAAGAAGAAGCAGGAGCAGGAGGTTAGTAGGACCGTAGAGGTAGAGCAACAAGTCCTCCATGGCCATGTCCGTGCTAAAACGGGTTATATACATCTAGACTCCTTACTTTTATTTCGTATTATTTTATATTGTATTTTTTTTGTGATTTTATTTTTTTGAATTCTTTCTTAAAACTGCATTGTTGGTAAAGGGCTTGTAAGTAAGCATTTCACTGTAAGGTCTACACCTGTTTTATTCGGCGCATGTGGCAAATAACATTTAAATTTGATTTTATATATATATGGTAGGACCACTGTCTTCCGAGTCCGCCACTAACTGATCTGAGAGCAGTAATAATGTTATCAGCCTCGTGTCTAGATGTAGGTATATTGATGTGTCCCCTCTGCTAACTGATCTGAGAGCAGTAATACTGATGTTACCAGCCTCATGTCTAGATGTAGGTATATTGATGTGTCTCTGTTCATGGTTGTTTCATCACAGTTGGCCAAACTGGCAAAGATGAAAATCTCCCCATGTGATATGTTCCGCTCTGAAACAGACAAGTATTCCTGCTTTGATGAAACGGTAAATATAAACCAGTTGTAACCTCCTTGATATCTTCAGGCTACAAGGCTTTATTGAATATCAAGTGTTTTAACAGCCATGTTCTTCTCCTCCAACAGGGTTTCCCTACGCTTGATGTGGAGGGGAAGGACATCAGTAAGGGACAGGCCAAGAAGCTGCGGAAACTCTACGAGGCCCAGGAGAAACTGCACCAAGCGTATCAGAATGGCTGCTGAGAGTCCTGGGTCACGTTCAGTTGCCAAACGTTCTCGAACGCTGCAGATAGTGATGCCGCTATTGGCTCTGACGTGATTCCTTAATCTACACGTCAGAGAAGCACGTTTGTTCCACATAACATATTTCTATCTGAACGTTCCAAAACGTTGCGTCCTGCTGAACGCGCCCCTGGAGGACGCTGCTCCGCCCCTCCGCCCATAGCGACGGTTCTGTCCTCATATGTCGTTATTCAGTTCCTCCAATAATTTCTTTGCTTGCTAAATCAACAATTTCCTGCATATTATGTGAAGGCTTGCAAATTTGACCAATCACCGCATTATGTTCGCATAAAAGCAGTCAAATCATCGGAATATTATCGCATAACATTTTCCCATCACCACAGTACAAAAAGTGCTCGCAATTTCAACCAATCATCTCACATCACCACATAATAGGGTTCAATCAAGCCACACGTCAAAAAAAACTTTTTCCTTCATCAGCGCATTTTGTGACAAAATTGGACTAAATCATTGTATATTGCCATGCAAAATGCCAGACTTGCAGCAGCAAAATCAAGCATTTTTTTTCTCTCCAGGAAATACCACAAAAAAAAATCACTGCGAATTCCTGGAGGGACTGAGTATTGGTGACATTGAGGCCAGAGAGACACTGGGTGTGTTTCAATTGTCTTAAGAATGGTCTCCTCTCCTTTATCAGGTGAAAGGTGAGGAGATGAAACCGCATTAGACTATTGAGGTGCATCCACTCTCCCAGTGTTGTAAGACCTTGGCACTAAACCTGGGTTCCTTTGCACTGCACTCCATGGGGACACTTAAAGGGTTGGTTCAATCAAAATCAGTAATTGATTCATTTCTTATTTTGTGATTGACCGCAACTACGGTTCGGATTCAGTTACTGTCCTACAGCTACCACTGGCTAAGATTGGTATTGATAACCTCAGATTCACCTGTTTAAGCTTTAACTAAATTGCGTGCCAAAACGAACTTCGCGTGAAACCACGTCTGGGGGTCATCGATAGCGTTGCTAATGTTAGTCTGTGGTTGCTTTAGCAAAGTAATAATAACCTACTATTCGTAGTTGTGGTCACTCCCTGGCCCGAAGACAACCTGCAAGCTGAAAACGTTATGACCTTTGGGTGAACTATCCCTGTAGGCAACAGTTTGTCTATTCAAAGGGGAAATGAGACCTCTGAAACCCTGTTGGCTTTGGCTTCCATGTGCTGTAGATTGACTCTAGTCACACAATGCTAGTTTTGGCTCTCCACTGCAAAGTGCTATTCACAGTGCTGTTATTGGTTGGCAGCGTGTCATACAGCCGTCCATTGAGGTTTCATTTCCCTCTTCCCCACCGTGACTGCATATCATTCCTTTTGTATTCTGATATTATGACTGAGGACAGTGAAGTTGATAGATGAAGTTGAATTAATGCACAATTGCAATGCAGAGATGATTACAGAAAAATATGTTAGAGGCCTTCTTGGGTTTTTTGGTCTTTTTATGTGACAAAATAACATGCTTTGAGCAGGTGTTAGGCTTGTTACAACAATCGATAGCAGAGGGATGAGACATCTTGATAGGAATATGGAATGTGAGACTTTGAAGGAAAAAAAAAAAAGATTTTAAACCAAAAATGTATTTTGTATCTTCAGTTTTTGAAATGGTTGAACAAATATTAAATTGAGATTCCATAGAGCTAACAACTACAGCAGTGACCATCTACTAGTTACCACACACACCTTCTGTTCAACAGAAACACAAAAATCACATCTGCAGAATCAACAAAGGATTTAATATTTAAGTGGCATCTCCAGTAAACAAATGTTACTGTTTAGTGAACAGCAAATCACAAGTACAGTATTCAAATATACAATATACTGTTTATTTCAAATTTTAAAGACAATATACGCTGTCAGCAGTATACACTGAACAAAAATAAATGCAACATGTCAAGTGTTGGTCCCATGTTTCATGAGCTGAAATAAAAGATCACAGAAATTTTCCATACACACAAAAAGCTTATTTCTCACAAATTAGTTTACATCCCTGTTTGTGAGCATGTATCCTTTGCCAAGATAATCCATCCACCTGACAGGTGTGGCATATCAAGAAGCTGATTAAACAGCATGATCATTACACAGGTGCACCTTGTGCTGGGGACAAAAAGCCACTCTAAAATGTGCAGTTTTGTCACACAACACAATGCCACAGATGTCTCAAGTTTTAAGGGAGCGTGCAATTGGCAAGCTGACTGCATGAATGTCCACCAGAGCTGTTGCCAGATAATTGCATGTTAATTTCTCTACTATAAGCCACCTCAACGTCGTTTTAGAGAATTTGGCAGTACGTCCAACCGGCCTCACAACCGCAGACCACGTGTATGGCATCGTGTGGGTGAGAGGTTTGCTGATGTGAACAGAGTGCCCTATGGCGGCAGTGGGGTTTTGGTAAGGGAAGGCATAAGCTACGAACACAATTGCATTTTATCGATGGCAATTTAAATGCACAAATATACCATGATGAGATCCTGAGGCCCATTGTCGTGCCATTCATCCACTGCCATCACCTCATGTTTCAGCATGATAATGCACTGCCCCATGTCACAAGGATCTGTACACAATTCCTGGAAGCTGAAAATGGCCCAGTTCTTCAATGGCCTGCATACTCACCAGACATGTCACCCATTGAGCAGGCTTGGAATGCTCTGGATCGACTTGTACGACAGCGTGGTTCCCAGCCAATATCCAACAACTTCGCACAGCCATTGAAGAGGAGTGAGACAACATTCCACAGGCCACAATCAACAGCCTGATCAACTCTATGAGAAGGAGACGTGTCACGCTGCATGAGGCAAATGGTGGTCACACCAGATACTGACTGGTTTTCTGATCCACGCCCCTACTTTTTTTTTAAGGTATCTGTGACCAACAGATGCATATCTGTATTCCCAGCCATGTGAAATCCATAGATTAGGGCCTAATTTATTTATTTCAATTGACTGATTTCCTTATATGAACTGTAACTCAGTAAAATCTTTGAAAATGTTGCATTTATATTTTTGTTCAGTATACAAATATAATAGAATTCTCTGATAATACAAAATTATATTTAGGTCACTTTAAAATGCCCTCTGTATTTAAGTCCGTGGAATGTCATTCTTTGTGCTCATCTTTGCTGCTGTCCATGTTCCTAAGCATAAACACAAACACTACCATGTTCACAACAAACTGGATGAAGCCAAAAGAGGCCACTCCGTAGTTCTGGTACAAGAAGCCTCCAATCGTGGGCCCGATGGTGCGAAGCAGAGACTGCACAGAGGCACACAGCCCCAGCATCGTGCCTGCAGAAGAGTGAAGAGAACCAATCAGAAAAATGTCTAGAGCAAACAGACAGAAGTTGCACTTAAATGCTAAACTGTTTATTTTAGAATGTTATGACCACACCAGTGTGACTCTCCCTCGGAAGGCGGCAAAGTAAAAAAAAATAAAAAAAAGTTAGGTTAGGCAATGATTTACTGTTTAACTGATGCCCCGCTTCACATTTCTCAAAATACGTGTTCGAAGCGCTTAATTGTCTCACCGGTGTCTGAGGAAGGCACAGTCTTTGTCAGCATGCTGTCAGTGATGACGTTGAACACGCTGAGAGCGAACATCATGGGGAGGACGATGAAGCAGAACTGGAACACGTTAGCCATGAAGGCCTGCCGAGGAGAGAACAAACCGTTTAACCTTAAGAGCAAGATCAAAGGTTTTACAACAGGGTCATATTCATTAGGCACCAAACGGAAGGAAAAACGACTGAAACGGAGGAACTATGTGAACCTGTCCAAGTGCTGTTATTTTTTTATTTTTTTTTGTTTTGCTGCGGTGCGCCCTAATGAATTTATATACAACCCTGCATTTATCACAAGATGAAATGAATCCTCTGTACCTGAGCCAAGCCCACCAGACTTGACATGCCGATGGAGAGGAGAAGCAGTGAGTTCTCAGAGTACCTTGCTGTCAGCCGGCCAATCACTCCTCCTTGGATGACCTGGAAAAATGAGACCAAAGAAGGTAATTTCTCACCAGAGTTGCTCTATAAAAATTATGTTCCCACAAGGGAAGGGATTTGATATCCTGGAGATTTCAGGAGAATTTAGCCAATCTAAACTTTTAATTGCTGTAAATACATCCTGTTGTCCTAACCAGGAATATAGTGGTCAAATAATGTGGTGAGCACTGATCGCCAGTCAAGCTGACGCGCAAACAACTTCATCGCTCATTTATCATCATCGGGGCAAAATGCCACAAAATAAAAAGGGTCTAGAGGCACAATGAGTGTATAAAAGAAACAAACTAACACTCCCCTTTTCTTACTAGCACTGACTTAGCTGATAACTACTTTACTGAGGAAAGATTTACTTACTATGACTGATATGTGGTTGTCCCACCTGGCTATCTTAATATGACTGCACTAACTAAGTCGCTCTGGATAAGAGTGTCTGCTAAATATAATGGAAGTGTCTCTGGATAAGAGTCTGCTAAATGACTAAATATAATGGAAGTGTCTCTGGATAAGAGCGGCTGCTAAATGACTAAATATAATGGAAGTGTCTCTGGATAAGAGCGGCTGCTAAATGACTAAATATAATGGAAGTGTCTCTGGATAAGAGCGGCTGCTAAATGACTAAATATAATGGAAGTGTCTCTGGATTAGAGCGGCTGCTAAATGACTAAATATAATGGAAGTGTCTCTGGATAAGTGTCTGCTAAATGACTAAATATAATGGAAGTGTCTCTGGATAAGAGCGGCTGCTAAATGACTAAATATAATGGAAGTGTCTCTGGATAAGAGCGGCTGCTAAATGACTAAATATAATGGAAGTGTCTCTGGATAAGAGTGTCTGCTAAATGATTTAATGGAAGTGTCGTGAGCATCCCTGCTCCATACCATTGACACGATCCCAAAGTAGGCCATCAGGTATCCATTCTGCTGTGGCTCCAGCTGGAAGAAGTTCATGGCGATAACAGAGAACATGACCTGAAAGATACCTGAGACAGAATCCCTAGAGGTTGTTAAAAAGGACTCAATGCAAACACAGACACACTAAAAAGACAATAACGTGTTAAACGCTGAACATTGGTTTATTAAGATTGTTAAACGCCTGAACATTGGTTTATTAAGATTGTTAAATGCTGAACATTGGTTTATTAAGATTGTTAAACGCTGAACATTGGTTTATTAAGATTGTTAAACGCTGAACATTGGTTTATTAAGATTGTTAAACGCTGAACATTGGTTTATTAAGATTGTTAAACGCTGAACATTGGTTTATTAAGATTGTTAAACGCTGAACATTGGTTTATTAAGATTGTTAAACGCTGAACATTGGTTTGCGTAACGCGTGCATAAATGCTATTCTCCAAATAAAATAGGTACGTGAACTGTGTCAAGTGCTTTTTCCCTTCACTACATCACCGGTTCCAGTTCTACACTGACACGTTCATGCTAAGTGATTAGTTCTCCCTCAGGTGAGTCTAAACTAAGAAATCCAAATAGTGGAGGACATCCCACCTGATGGCAAACCTGACATGATCTTGACCAGGAAGGTTTTGGCCACGCCAGGGAACTTCATCAGTCTGGTGATCTCTCCCAGGTCAAAGACTGACTTGGCATTGCTCTTCTCTGCAAAAACCAGGACAACACGTCACACGCAACTCACATATGAAGTCGCATGTCAAATACCACACATCATGATGTCCCCCACATCACACAGGCCATAATACGTGTCAGATAAAGCAGAAACGTTATTTTGTGCACCGCGCACACACACACACACACACACACACACACACACACACACACACACCCTTTAGAGACTGAATAGTGTGTTGTGAGTTAGGTGTAGAGTCTTACTGTCTGTGCTGTCCTGTGGAGCTTGTATTTTAGTGTGTTTGGGGATAAACTTGAAAACCAACAGTAAGCTGGTGAAGCTCCCACCAGCAGCTACACAAGCCGCAAATGTCTCCCTGGGAAAGGCAGATCAGGGATATCACATTGCTAAATTCGAGCTCTCGGATTGGGCTAGAATCGGTGAGCATTGAGGTTCCTTCACTCACCCATAGCGTGTGCTGAGTGTACCGCCCAAGGTGGAGCCGGCAACCATGCCAATGCCAAAACATAGGCCCAACTTGCCAAGGGCATCTGCCCGCTTGTCAGGTTCTGTCAGGTCAGCCACTACCATCTGGGCTCCTGGTGAAAGGAGGAGAGAACCACAACAAGTGAGACTTATACATACATCTATACACGCTTTAGTTACGCTGGAGCATATGGGGAACAGAGAGACACATATGGATCTGTTAGAGGGCTGTCTAGTACAGTAGATCCTATAGGATCTGTTAGAGGGCTGTCTAGTACAGGAGGTCCTATAGGATCTGTTAGAGGGCTGTCTAGTACAGTAGATCCTAGTATAGGAGGTCCTATAGGATCTGTTAGAGGGCTGTCTAGTACAGTAGATCCTATAGGATCTGTTAGAGGGCTGTCTAGTACAGTAGATCCTATAGGATCTGTTAGAGGGCTGTCTAGTACAGTAGATCCTATAGGATCTGTTAGAGGGCTGTCTAGTACAGTAGATCCTAGTATAGGAGGTCCTATAGGATCTGTTAGAGGGCTGTCTAGTACAGTAGATCCTATAGGATCTGTTAGAGGGCTGTCTAGTACAGTAGATCCTATAGGATCTGTTAGAGGGCTGTCTAGTACAGGAGGTCCTATAGGATCTGTTAGAGGGCTGTCTAGTACAGTAGATCCTATAGGATCTGTTAGAGGGCTGTCTAGTACAGTAGATCCTATAGGATATGTTAGAGGGCTGTCTAGTACAGTAGATCCTATAGGATCTGTTAGAGGGCTGTCTAGTACAGTAGATCCTATAGGATCTGTTAGAGGGCTGTCTAGTACAGTAGGTCCTATAGGATCTGTTAGAGGGCTGTCTAGTACAGGAGGTCCTATAGGATATGTTAGAGGGCTGTCTAGTACAGTAGATCCTATAGGATCTGTTAGAGGGCTGTCTAGTACAGTAGATCCTATAGGATCTGTTAGAGGGCTGTCTAGTACAGTAGGTCCTATAGGATCTGTTAGAGGGCTGTCTAGTACAGTAGATCCTATAGGATCTGTTAGAGGGCTGTCTAGTACAGTAGATCCTATAGGATCTGTTAGAGGGCTGTCTAGTACAGGAGGTCCTATAGGATCTGTTAGAGGGCTGTCTAGTACAGTAGATCCTATAGGATCGGTTAGAGGGCTGTCTAGTACAGTAGATCCTATAGGATCTGTTAGAGGGCTGTCTAGTACAGTAGATCCTATAGGATCTGTTAGAGGGCTGTCTAGTACAGTAGATCCTATAGGATCTGTTAGAGGGCTGTCTAGTACAGTAGATCCTATAGGATCTGTTAGAGGGCTGTCTAGTACAGGAGGTCCTATAGGATCTGTTAGAGGGCTGTCTAGTACAGTAGATCCTATAGGATCTGTTAGAGGGCTGTCTAGTACAGTAGATCCTATAGGATCTGTTTAGAGGGCTGTCTAGTACAGTAGATCCTATAGGATCTGTTAGAGGGCTGTCTAGTACAGGAGGTCCTATAGGATCTGTTAGAGGGCTGTCTAGTACAGTAGATCCTATAGGATCTGTTAGAGGGCTGTCTAGTACAGGAGGTCCTATAGGATCTGTTAGAGGGCTGTCTAGTACAGTAGATCCTATAGGATCTGTTAGAGGGCTGTCTAGTACAGTAGATCCTATAGGATCTGTTAGAGGGCTGTCTAGTACAGTAGATCCTATAGGATCTGTTAGAGGGCTGTCTAGTACAGTAGATCCTATAGGATCTGTTAGAGGGCTGTCTAGTACAGTAGATCCTATAGGATCTGTTAGAGGGCTGTCTAGTACAGTAGATCCTATAGGATCTGTTAGAGGGCTGTCTAGTACAGTAGATCCTATAGGATCTGTTAGAGGGCTGTCTAGTACAGTAGTCCTATAGGATCTGTTAGAGGGCTGTCTAGTACAGTAGATCCTATAGGATCTGTTAGAGGGCTGTCTAGTACAGTAGATCCTATAGGATCTGTTAGAGGGCTGTCTAGTACAGTAGATCCTATAGGATCTGTTAGAGGGCTGTCTAGTACAGTAGATCCTATAGGATCTGTTAGAGGGCTGTCTAGTACAGTAGATCCTAGGCACGGTACGTACACTGGGGACTTATCTGGGAGTTTGAGTATGAAGGGAACAACAGGTAGTATCTGTGTCTCTAACCAGGATTGTGTAATTTCTTCTGATCTTGTCTTGCAAGGCTCCTTTGAAAAAGAGACCTTGGTCTCAATGGGACTCCCTGCTAAAGTAAAGGTTAAATAAATAACAGGCAGTGTAGCACTTACCAGGCAAGCCATGCATCAAGACAGCGGGGAGTTTGTGGATGAAGAGCATGAGAGGACTGTCGGCTATCGCTAGTAACCCATAGTAGACCACAGAGGCAGCACAGGATAGACACAATGCTGCCCTGGCCCCAAAAAGGTCTGCAAACCTACCGACAACAGAAACATAACACTGATCTATATCGACATCTGCCAACCAACACATAACAGCTGCGATCTTGTGTCTGGACTCAGGTCTGATAACCCCTCTCTGTATGGTTCGTTGCCCTAAGTCATTGAACCATAACTCAATTAGATTTAAGTGACGGCACTTTAAAGCTCAATTTGCCAGCAGCAAATGGTACATCGTTGACCAGGGTTGGAGATTGAAGCTGCAGACTCTGGTTGGTTATGGAACCGATTATGTATTTAATTCAACAGAGTTTTGCTCACCTTCCAAATATCGGGCCTCCCAACAATTGGACAACACCAACCATGGTTTGCAAATAGCCAATCCATAGGGTGTCAAATCCCAGCTTCTTTGCCAAATACTGAATGGAGAGAGGTCACTAACTTAAATTCATATACATTTGTGTTATTATGATAATTAATTAAATAATATTAGATTGTCATAGGTACAGTGCATTCGGAAAGTATTCAGACCCCTTGACTTTTTCCACATTTTGTTACGTTACAGACTTATTCTAAAATTGATGTTATTTTTTTTAATTTTTTTTCATCAAGGATCTCTCTGTACTTTGCTCCGTTCATCTTTCCCTCGATCCTGACTAGTCTATCAATCCCTGCCACTGAAAAACATCCCCACAGCATGATGCTGCCACCACCATGCTTCACCGTAGGGATGGTACCAGGTTTCCTCCAGACGTGACGCTTAGCATTCAGGCCAAAAAGTTCAATCTTGGTTTCATCAGACCAAATAATCTTGTTTCTCATGGTCTGAGAGTCTTTAGGTGCCTTTTGGCAAACTCCAAGCGGGCTGTCATGTGCCTTTTACTGAGGAGTGGCTTCCGTCTGGCCACTGTACCATAAAGGCCTAATTGGTGGAGTGCTGCAGAGATAGTTGTCCTTCTGGAAGGTTCTCCCATCTCCACAAACTCTGGAGCTCTGTCAGAGTGACCATTGGGTTCTTGGTCACCTCCCTGACCAAGGCCCTTCTCACCCGATTGCTCAGTTTGGCCGGGCGGCCAGCTCTAGGAAGAGTCTTGGTGGTTCCAAACTTCTTCCATTTAAGAATGATGGAGGCCATTGTGTTCTTGGGGACCTTTATTTCCCTTCCCCAGATCTGTGCCTCGACACAATCCTGTCTCGGTGCTCTACAGACAATTCCCTCGACCTCATGGCTTGGTTTTTGCTCTGACATGCACTTTCAACTGTGGGACCTTATATAGACAGGTGTGTGCCTTTCCAAATCATGTCCAAACAATTGAATTTACCACAGGTGGACTCCAATGAAGTTGTAGACTTCAACAGCTCAAGGATGATCAATGGAAACAGGATGCACCTGAGCTCAATTTCGAGTCTCATAGCAAAGGGTCTGAATACTTATGTAAATAAGGTATGAGTTTTTAATACATTTGCAAAAATGTCTAAAAACCTGTTTTCATTTTGTCATTATGGGTTATTGTGTGTAGATTGATGAGAATAAAAAAATATTGAATCCATTTTAGAATCAGGCTGTAACGTAACAAAATGTGGAAAAAGTGAAGGGGTCTGAATACTTTCCGAATGCACTGTGTGTATACTGTTTTCAAAGTGCATTGTCACAACAATCTATCAAAAACGATAGTGCCCTTAAGAAGGCCCAGGTAAGGCCAACATTTTTCTCAATCCTTTTAGATGTTGGCCGATGTCAAATATGTCAACAATCCCAAGGCCATTTATAATTGTTCCACCTATTAGCAAATATCTATAATATATTTGAATAACAGAAAATTAATGAATAGCACACAGCCTACTTTTTGTAGCCATTCTGATATCGAAAGTATTAAAATAAACTGCATCGTTTTCTTTCTAGGCTAATCATATAACAAAAAACACCACAAGTGGGTACTAGAATAGAATAGACATTGAAACACAAATACTTACAGGAGTAATGGAAAACTGTAAAAACATCCATGTAATATCCAGAGCAGCTATGAGGTAAGTAACGTAAATTACTCTCTGCATCTTTGCGCCTTTAGGTAAATCTGTAACCGCGGCGGTTGAGTCGGATTTAACTCCTGACATTCTTAGTGTAGCCTAAACCCAATTCGCTCCACCTTCTGGCATATAATAGACTCCTGGAAAACCTGGAACAAGGAGACATAAATGATGAAATAACAAACAACGGCATAAGACAATATAGTGCCGACACTGTCGCTGTCAAGTATTGAGATTAAATGCATTTACCTTTGTTTATCTGAAGACGAAATTCTTATAAATGCATAATACATCCGTCAAAAGTGTTCCTGCCGTTACTACCGATGCAGATGTTGATTTCACACTATGAGCGCACCACCGCAATAGAAAAGTGACGCTCAAACTCCAGCGTTCATTCAACAATGCAATTCCTAAGCATTAACTTTAGGAAAGATTTCTCACGCATAATATTTCCCTATGTTCTTGTACTTTGATCTTCACAGGATGTAATATGTTTGCTGGCAGCACAAACTGAACTTCCTGTTTTCAGGCTTCAAAATAAAAGCTCTCATGATCTCCTGCTGTTGTGCACTTGAGCAAGGCACTTAACCCCTTAAATGCTCCAGGGGCGTTGACCCTGTGCTATTCCTACAACCTCCACGTGTGTGTGTGTGTGTGCGTGTCAAGGGGTTGGGATAAAGGACAAATACCATAGATAATAGACCTTCTTATTCATGATGCACTCATCGAAGTTTAATTAATTGGCATATTTTTCAAATATATTACATTCTTAATTTAAAAAAATAACCAGTTGTTTCAGTTGGGGACCTTGCTCTGTACTTTTCCTTAATTTGTTTATTTTCCTCTAGTTTCAGTAGTGGACTTTCATTCTGACTTCTCAAACAGAAGTTAATTGCTGAAACCCAGCTAACCCTTCACATGAGAGTCCTCCCACTTTACACAACCACAAGTGGCGTGACTACTAGATTTCAATGTCCTACTAGGTAGTCATTGTATGGGTAGGCTTACATGTGACAAGTGTTGAGTTGGTTAAAGTTCATAATTGTTGAGGATGACTATTGTAGGCTAAGTTAACAATATTGCTTCTTTCCCAAACATAGTTACTCTGACAATCTAACAAATACCGCTCAGGATATACAACCTCAGTCAGTAAAGATTTTCTACATGTATTCGGTCACAATAAAACATGCTGTGCTGAAAAAGGGAACATTGACTTACTTCTGTGAATGATTCCAGTGAATGGTTAGCGGGGTCCTGGGCCGGGTGTGAAGGCCTGCTGGGCTCTCTGGGTCACAGTGACCTACACAGGATGTGTGAGGGGACGAGCTAGACCAGGTATACTTTGATGGGGGCCACAACAAATCTGAACTCATCATGAGGGGCGCAGTGGCTCGCCGGTCTACGTACCCAAATCCATAGCCACAACATGCAGTCAGAGCCTTTTGGGGGCCTCACAAAATACCAACCATTTTAAATCGGTTGATATGTTGATACAGCAAAACATGACATATTTTATCATCTTTATTATAATGAAGACACAAGGCTGATATATATATATATATATATATATATATATATATATATATATATATATATGACATGTTAGACCCTCATTCTCTTAATGACTTGAAGCCCACCTGGGAGGAATGTTTCTAGGTCTCCAAATAGACATGGGTATTGTAGCTTAAGCCAAAATGTCAGACTTCTGAAACGAACGTTTACATTTCTTAGTAAAAAAAGAACCTCCCATCATTCAAGTTTAAATTCCATGAGACCTCAGCCGGTCTTTAATGTACCCTGTGCCTGTCTCTTTAAAACATGCAGATCACTTTTGTCAAGATATTTACCAATGTTGGCCACCGTCTTTCAGTGTGTTGCATTGTGTATACACATTTTACTAATTTGCAACTACATGTGGACTGCATGAACTTAAAAAAAAAAAAACATGTGATCAAAGGTCAGGCCGTTTTTTTATGAAGTCGCTGCAGTTACTTCTCACCAACTGCACCATGCAGCCATCACCTGCATTGTGGGAGGCACTGTGTCAACCAATCATTGGGGTGTTTGGTTTGACCCACGCGAACTTGGCCAAACACTTGACAGAAACAGGAAACAACTTTACCGCGATTCTAAAGCTACAAGGAATATAAAATGAAAGTTATATGAGACTTCTCTCTAACCAATTAATTGTAGTGTGTGACATGAAGGTATACAAAGGTTTATTTAGAAATGTATACAGTAAAACGTTTATAAACAATAGCAGCTATGTTGACACTACCATGTTGATCTGAGCCTTGCTGTTGGAAAACCACTACAGTGTCCGACTGGTGGCTGTCGCAAACGCGCCTCCATGACTTCACTCGCCGACTTTAGTCTACAGTCGGCTTCGCAAGGCTTACTGCTCGAACACACCCCAAATGTTTGCCTTCAGCGCCCTGTGCAGTCAAATTTCTCGCTCACAGGAAGGGACGCCGTGAGTGACACACTCTTTTCACGCCACTTCGATACAGCTATGACCGGAAGTGGTTATCGTAGCAGGTTAGGAGAGTGTTTTCGCCAACCCTAACCACAGATATAGCAATGTTATACACATATTTGCCCTAACCCCTTTCCTAACATTAACCACAGTCTCATAACCTGCTACGTTAATTATAACGTGTTACGAAAAAGTCACTTCCGGTCGTAGCTGGATCGAAGTGGCGTGAAAAGAGTGTTCCTCGTCACAGGAAGCAGACTGCGGAAGTGTTGTAGAATGTGTAGGTGATCGTTTCAGTAAATGTTTTGCTTTAGCAGTTTAGTGCAATGTCTAAACTGTACACTGAGAAACTGACCAGGCTCTACGAGCGGTATCGGGAGTACGTCACGAAGAACCCTGCAAGGACTGGACAACTGGAGAGCACCGTAAGAACGCTGTCGTACCTCATTTCAGGTGACTTTAAAAGTGAAAGCCAAAGCGGGTGGCTTGCCGCGTTCATAAACAACGGAAAAATACGAGGTCAAATCATGACGTCAGTGATCTTCTGGTCGGAGAGTCGGAGCTTTAGAAAGAGGCCCGAGTTTCCGAGTTGGATGACCGTTTAAAAAAAAAAAATCTTCCGAATTCCCAGTTATCTTGAACGCTCGGAAGTCGGAGATTTCTGAGTTCCCAGTTGTTCTGAACGCGGCATAGGTCCTCTGAAATGTATCCAACTGGCCAAGTTAATTGCCTAACGTTACAACTCTTCCCAAAACATTTACCATGCATCGCCTGATGTCCCTCTCACCACTACAATCTCCTGTTTGACCATGAAAACAAATTATTGTTATTCTCGAATTCAGAAAAAAATCACTGCTATGCATCTGGTGCAGAACATTATCCAGAGTGCAAATTTTAAATGGAACTATTTGTTACATGTTGTTGTCAGTATGCCTAAAGAGTGCATTGGCTGTAGGCCCGTGTAGAGCCTGGGATGGCCCATGGCAGGCATAACTCCACCTTATGAAATGTAATTATTATCAGAAATATTTAGCTAAGTTCTTTGATTCGTTCTCTGTTTAAACAACATTACAACAGTTTGACATACCGTCAGTTCTCAAGTGTTTTTGTCTATTTCACAGGGCGATTTACTGACTCCCACGAAATCTCTGAATTGGGTAGGTTAGGACCTCACTTTACCTCACAGTTAACGTTTTATTGGCTGCAGTATAACCCCTCACCATGAATCCAAAGCATTCAGGAACTTCAACTGGTGGGTCAGTTTGTTGTTGTTGTGTTTTTCAGTGTACTCTGCCTCCAACCTGCTGGTGCTGCTTAATGATGGCATTCTGCGCAAAGGGCTGTGTCGCACCCTACCCATGGTGAGGTCCAGCTCCACCAGGTCAATCACAATAGTCTAACCTTACCCATGGTGAGGTCCACAATAGTCTAACCTTACCCATGGTGAGGTCCACAATAGTCTAACCTTACCCGTGGTGAGGTCCACAATAGTCTAACCTTACCCATGGTGAGGTCCACAATAGTCTAAATATGTGCTGGGTCGTGTTCATTGGGCACAAAATGGAAGAAAACGCTCTGAAACAGGGAAGTGACTGTGCTATCGGAACGGACTGTGAAATCCCTGACCCTGTGTGTGTGTGTGTGTGTGCACGCGGTTGTGTTTGTTCAGTCTCTCTCTCAGCAGAGGCTTCTCACCTGGCTGTCAGTGGTGGAGTACATGGAGGTGTTCCTGGAGATGGGGGCCACCAAGCTGTGGGGGGAGGGAGGTCGCTGGCTGGTCATAGTGCTCATCCAGATCACTAAGTAAGGAAAGAAGGAGCCCCTCATGGAGTAATATCTAACCAACGCTTTAACTTGATCCCTTTTGATCGCTCTACAAAATGCTGTATAATGCGCAAAGTAGACCAAACAGTTATGAGATATGCATTGATACGTGGATTAGTAAGGGCCAATGAGATATGCATTGATACGTGGATTAGTAAGGGACAATGAGATATGCATTGATACATGGATTAGTAAGGGCCAATGAGATATGCATTGATACGTGGATTAGTAAGGTCCAATGAGATATGCATTGATACGTGGATTAGTAAGGGCCAATGAGATATGCATTGATACGTGGATTAGTAAGGTCCAATGAGATATTCATTGATACGTGGATTAGTAAGGTCCAATGAGATATGCATTGATACGTGGATTAGTAAGGGCCAATGAGATATGCATTGATACGTGGATTAGTAAGGGCCAATGAGATATGCATTGATACGTGGATTAGTAAGGTCCAATGAGATATTCATTGATACGTGGATTAGTAAGGTCCAATGAGATATGCATTGATACGTGGATTAGTAAGGGCCAATGAGATATGCATTGATACGTGGATTAGTAAGGGACAATGAGATATGCATTGATACATGGATTAGTAAGGGCCAATGAGATATGCATTGATACGTGGATTAGTAAAGGCCAATGTCAGCCTGTAGATTGTCTCTGATTGTTGAAAAACGTCATGGTTACTGGGATGTTATGTTGCATGGTGTTACCTTCCATTTCCCTCCTTCCACCTCACCCCCCTCTCTCTGTTCTTCTTCTCCCTGTCCAGAGCCATCCTGCGCTTCCTACTGCTGTTCTGGTACAAATCTGGCATGCAGACTTCCCCTCCTATTACCCCACTGGACAGGGAGGCACAGGGAGGCAACGGTAACAGAAGTCAGGAGTTTACACGTCGGACATATTTTATGTTTAACTCATTTTCTTTTTTATGCAGGGTGTCTGGCAGATACCGCTTTATCCGAACAATACAACTTAAACATGACTCTTTGTTAATTTGATTCAAAACAACTTTGGGGCAGTTTTGTGTCTGCTTCTTGTTCCACTATCTCATTGGCTATAACCAATGAGCCAATGTCCTGGGTCGCACCAGGACCGGACCATATACTGCAGAGTTCACAATCTAGACAACCTGGAACTAAATATATTTCTGTACCTCTCCCTCCTTACAGATGAGGACCATGATGACCACCAGGATGACACCTCCTTCGTGGGACAGCGGTCAGGGAGGGTGATGAGGCCGTTGGGCAGTGGTAAGACCACACACACTACACGTTCCATATCAATGCTTGCATTCAGGACAGTGCCAAAACTATTTATCAGGAATTGACTATCTGTCCCTTGCCTCTCTCTCTCAGCCCCCTCTCTGCAGGCCCGTCTGTGGGGAGCCCCCAGTAGGGAGAAGAGGTGTGGTGTGGAGGAGGATCTGTTCTCTAGTCCCACTGCCCTGGGGGTCCAGGAGACCATAGCAGAGTCCATGTACATCGGACGCCCACTGGTACACCGTATCCTTCCTACTCTGGGACTCTGCCATAGAGACACCAGAGAAAGAAACATGCACAATGCCATCACATGATTACTGCCTTTATAGATGATGGTCTGGTATGGCAGGTATAAAGTACATTGGTTAAAATGGTTGCATGATTCCATATCATAACTCTGTATGGCCTAGAAGCATTCTGTTCATCTTAACAGCACGTCCCTTACTAGTGGAATACTGCACTGAATGTACAGTATACTAGTATTTGACCTAATCAATGGTAAATAGAACTGCGACCTCAAGGATCTCTCATTCTTACTCTAGTCAGTCTATACTTTGAAATGTGTTACTTCAGAGAGTGTGTGTGTGTGTTTTCCTCAACGCTGCTCCCAAACACAGTGCTCTGCCTGGGAATGTGTGGGAGGGGCTCCTGGAAACCGTGGCTCATCTCTGGAGCCATGGAGATGACCAGGTAACCATGCTCTCTTCTCTTTACACTCAAATGTGTTAAGAGGAATCACAAAATAAATACACACACTGACTGGACACATGATATATGCATGATATGTGTACCACTATTAAAACATAATAGCTGTACACATACTCTCCTATACAGGCCATGTAAAAGCAGTGTCATGAAGGAGGCACTGAAACATGAGTGAGATAAAGAGGGATCCCCTGGTCTGTTCTCTCCCCAGTTTTGGTTTGATGAGTGACACTAAATCTCTGAACCGGCGGGAGAGGGCGGAGCTGAGGAGGAGAGCCTTTCTGCTTCTGTACTACCTGCTCCGGTCCCCTTTCTACAACACGTTCTCTGAGTAAGTAGAATCAGATCTACAACACATTCTCTGAGTAAGTAGAATCAGAACTACAACAGATTCTCTGAGTAAGTAGAATCAGAACTACAACACATTCTCTGAGTAAGTAGAATCAGAACTACAACAGATTCTCTGAGTAAGTAGAATCAGAACTACAACACATTCTCTGAGTAAGTAGAATCAGATCTACAACACATTCTCTGAGTAAGTAGAATCAGATCTACAACACATTCTCTGAGTAAGTAGAATCAGAACTACAACACATTCTCTGAGTAAGTAGAATCAGATCTACAACACATTCTCTGAGTAAGTAGAATCAGATCTACAACACATTCTCTGAGTAAGTAGAATCAGAACTACAACAGAATCTCAGAGTAAGTAGAATCAGAACTACAACACATTCTCTGAGTAAGTAGAATCAGAACTACAACATTCTCTTGAGTAGGTAGAATCAGAACTACAACACATTCTCTGAGTAAGTAGAATCAGAACTACAACACATTCTCCGGCTAGATAAATTATTTACCATAATGACCATTGGAACATGGCATATTTTCTGGCATATGTGTGCAGATTTTTAAACCTTTCGTTTAACGTAGGACAAAAATCCTGTTCCTACTCCGATTTCTGGCAGACTACGTTCCTGGCGTCGGGCTGGTTGCTCGTAAGTGTTTACTTTTATAGAAACCAAGTATTTGATCCATTGTTTACCTTTTTGTTGGTGGTCCACTGTCTGCTGACATGCAGTGTGGCTTCCAAGTTCTGCCAGTCTGCATCTTGTCAGTTCATGTGTGCATTGTCCTGCTTGGCTTAACTTTATCCTCCACTTGTCCTTCCAGGCCCTCTAATGGATTACCTACCCATCTGGCAGAAGATCTACTTCTATAACTGGGGCTGAGGGCAGGAGGTGGAAGGTCGGAGGTCGTTGAAGGTCACCTGGCCAACTGGATAGGGATCGACACTAAAGAGGGAGACCCTCAGTAAAATACTATACAGAGCCAGAGACACACAGGGATTCAAGTCCCCACAGACCCGCTGGTTAATCTGCTCTATTTCACCTGGGACCCTCAAATGAGATCAACATGCAGTTCTGTTGCTAGGGCATGCCAGAGTACCTTACGGATCCTTCTGTTCTGTTGCTAGGGCATGCCAGAGTACCTTACGGATCCTTCCGTTCTGTTGCTAGGGCATGCCGGAGTACCTTTTGCATTCCCTCCTTATTCTTTCATTTTGTAATTTGAGTGATTTCTGTCATCTTCCATCAGACTGATCTTGAACCAGAGATTATATTATGAATTGATGCCGACTGTGTGATTTGAGTTCTCCTTCTGTAAACTATACATTACCCAGCGTGGTGTTATTGACAGTTGCATGAGATATCTTTGGCACCACTGGTGATGATCACCCTCGTAAGTCAGTACTGCGGTTTTTCGCTGCGAACAATCTCTCCTAAACCTGACTCCAGTTAAACAACACACTGCTACGGCTAGCCCCGATGGGTTCTGTGCAGTTGGACCAACAGGATTACAGCTAATGACTTTGAGGCTGATTGAAGTTCTCTCTATCGGGGCATCCTAATATTTCCTTTCTCCTGAAGTGTGCGCGTGTTCACTCCTGCCCACAAATCTAAAAGCATTCGATTGGCAGAGGCATGGGGCTAGTGGGAGTGTCCACCATATTGTGTATACTAGTCACTTCCTTTAAGTCTGTGAAGGGAAGTTAAATGCACACTTCAAGAGGAAGGAGAGATCATTGGGCCATAGCCTACATTCCCCTTCTGTTTGTTAGACAAATGAACAACACCTGTGGGACAATATGAAATGAAACATTTGTATGTTAAATATGCTGTATTCTCATGATTATTTATATTAACTACCCAATTGTGTTCCTAATAGATTGTTACTTTGATAGGGGTGAGAATTAAGAATCGAGACAGGTCATTTCTGCCAATGAGCCATTTTTGTAGTTTATCCAGACTACTTGGAAGCAACCATCTGGAAATACATTGAAATCAGGTTGTTTTCTCTTGTTGAAGATGATTGGGATTAGGAATGTTGTGGCTCTGAGTGCCTTTCAAAAGTTCACTTTCCAGATGGGGGGGAAAAATGAAGTCTAATGTACTTAATTTCAATTATGTGGGAATGTTTTTTATAAATCCTACAAATGTGTTCAATAAATCATCAGAATAATAATGTGGAACCACCCAGTCATTGTGTTATTTTAGCTTTTCATTGTTAATATAACTGTTACCATGTTATTACCACTAATTTGCTGTTATGTAATGTGCTACTATGGCTGCCTTTCCCCAGGCAGCCATAGTAGCACATTTGGACCAATGAGATCAGCTCTGAAAAAGATCTGTGAAAAGACCTGATGTGATTCAACAAAAAAAGGCCAATTACTGGAAAAAAATATCCTAATTGGGCTGCCTGTGTAAACACAACCCTCATCATACAGACCATTAGGATTTGTTCGTTCAACTTAACAGTGCGCAACCACAGTGAAGGATTTCAATCTTTATTGACACAAATCTAATACTTTTTTTTGTAGCCTTTAATAAATAATAGTATTTTTGATTTTCATGGGTCATTTGGATAGTTCTTCTTTAGGCTTTATTCATCACTAGTGGGACATCCAGGGTCAGACTGGGCCACGTGAGGTCATGGGTCAATACACTCAAATCTATACCCATTGTGACGTCACGGGTCAATACACTCAAATCTATACCCATTGTGACGTCACGGGTCAATACACTCAAATCTATACCCATTGTGACGTCACGGGTGAATACACTCAAATCTATACCCATTGTGACGTCACGGGTGAATACACTCAAATCTATACCCATTGTGACGTCACGGGTCAATACACTCAAATCTATACCCATTGTGACGTCACGGGTCAATACACTCAAATCTATACCCATTGTGACGGTCACGGGTGAATACACTCAAATCTATACCCATTGTGACGGTCATGGGTGAATACACTCAAATCTATACCCATTGTGACGGTCATGCCTCAATAAAAAATAATGAAAAAATGTAAACAGGTCACTGGTGGTAATAATAATAATAATATATGGTATAGTCCAAGGTTTCCCAAACTCAGTTCTGGGCTGCTCGCCGTGCATGTTTAGTTTTCTGCCCTAGCACTACACAGCTGATTCAAATAACCAACTCCTCAAGCTCTGAACATTTTAACCAGCTGTGTAGTGTTTGGCCAAAAAACAAAACGTACACCCAAGACGGGCCCCAGGACCGAGTTTGGGAAACCCTGGTCTAGTCCATACCATTAGTCTGGAGCTTACCGTAAACACTCACCCCAACTAACGCACGGCTGTTACAGAGAAGCAGGGGGTTGCCTTTTGAATATCCTTTTCCCGTCAACAGAAACATCTGTCGATCAGTGGAGGCTGCTGAGGGGAGGACGGCTCATAATATCAACTTGAATATAGAATGGGCTATAACATCAAATATGAAAAGCAAAAATGGCTTGTTAGAGCCCAGATCTGATTCCGCTCCAGCCCCAATTAAGGTGCCATCAACCTCCTGTGGTGTAGATCAAACTAAGGGCCCTGTCCAGGAGGGTAACCTCCTCCAGTCTATTACTGCTGCCGTCAGGGGCCTGTCCAGGAGGGTGTAACCTCCTCCAGTCTATTACTGCTGCCGTCAGGGGCCTGTCCAGGAGGGTGTAACCTCCTCCAGTCTATTACTGCTGCCGTCAGGGGCCTGTCCAGGAGGGTAACCTCCTCCAGTCTATTCCTGCTGCCGTCAGGGGCCTGTCCAGGAGGGTGTAACCTCCTCCAGTCTATTACTGCTGCCGTCAGGGGCCTGTCCAGGAGGGTAACCTCCTCCAGTCTATTCCTGCTGCCGTCAGGGGCCTGTCCAGGAGGGTAACCTCCTCCAGTCTATTACTGCTGCCGTCAGGGGCCTGTCCAGGAGGGTGTAACCTCCTCCAGTCTATTCCTGCTGCCGTCAGGGGCCTGTCCAGGAGGGTGTAACCTCCTCCAGTCTATTACTGCTGCCGTCAGGGGCCTGTCCAGGAGGGTAACCTCCTCCAGTCTATTCCTGCTGCCGTCAGGGGCCTGTCCAGGAGGGTAACCTCCTCCAGTCCATTCCTGCTGCCGTCAGGGGCCTGTCCAGGAGGGTAACCTCCTCCAGTCTATTACTGCTGCCGTCAGGGGCCTGTCCAGGAGGGTAACCTCCTCCAGTCTATTACTGCTGCCGTCAGGGGCCTGTCCAGGAGGGTAACCTCCTCCAGTCTATTACTGCTGCCGTCAGGGGCCTGTCCAGGAGGGTAACCTCCTCCAGTCTATTACTACCTGGGGAATGAGAGCCTCAAATCTGTAATGACCATTTTAGCTGGCACCAATCATGAAATGAGGCGGAACTCCATACAAAACAGACAATTGCCTTAAATGTCTTTGAACCAAGTGCATATCTAGTCAACCCCCTGCTACTACTGCCAAATGGTGCCAGGTCATCTTCTTTGTAGTTGCAGAACAACAATATATATAACAATCTTCTGAGATGCACAGGGCAACTGCAAAAAAAATACAACCTGGAACGCCCACCGTTGGTATAATGCAATTCCACCTTCCAGGCTCTGTGATACCAGACACCCTTGTCCATGATGAGATATCAGATAGAAATGGATTGTGTAGAACATACACTAGTGAGGAAAAACAGGTAATCGGGTCAGCTCTATATGTATTATATAGTATTTCTACCTGTGACATTCTAGCCCCCCCCCCCCCCCCCCCAATACTCAACTGGTGGACCGTGGGTCGGATCCGGACCCAGAACGTGGTCAATACGGAACTCAGTCAGGATTCAAACTCTGGTATTATATGAACACACAAGACATGGCAGAATGTGTAGAATTCAAAGAAATTAGTTTTAAAACTGCAAAATGTTCTCTACGCCAACAAAAGGGGTGTGAACAGTTTGATGTCATGGGTTGCGAGGTGGGGTTTAACTGACAATATCCATTCGGACCTTTGCCACGTAAGAAATGTGTGACCGGACCGCCTCAAATAGTACTGGAGTACCCCTGTTCTAGACGTTACACCTCACTGAATATACCCCCTGGTTCCATTTGACCAAGGGTGGTAGGCTACTCTTACCCATGCCTTCATTTTGATAGGCTGGTCACCAGAAATGAACGTAAAACGACGATGGACTGAGCGACAGCCAGGCTCTGTCCAGTCACAGGTTTTACAACAATCTGATGAGCGTCTTCGCATGACTTTATTGATCATTGCTTCTGCCATTCAACAAGATGGTACAGAATGAGGGCACACAACAACAAAAAAAAACTCCCACTTTAAGAATAGAATAGAGGATTATGCAGAAACACAGTTGAGTTGTGTTTTCTCCCCCATGTCTAAGTAACTTATCTTAGGGTAGAAACAAAGAGCCTAAGTGTGAATGCAGATCCAGGTCTTTATGAATCTATACAAGTGTTTTTCTCTACTTAAGGAGGTTAAAATGGCTTCCCAAAGCTCCAATGGTATGATTCTGTAAACCCAGTGACTGGACATGCATGGCCTGAAGGAGACCACCATCCACATTCTTAACAGCATCGCCATTCAGTCAAAGCACCCGACCTTTCCTATAAACACACACACACACACTGAACTCTTGTCTGTTGAAAAAGGCTGAAAACCAACCTTTCATCCGACCCGACTGAAAACCTTTCAGACCCGGATGAATAACTCATATTGCGCCACAAGATCGGCTAGGTCATTACGTTTCTAAAATATACACCCCGCGTCCATCTCCTGAACTTCGTAGACTGCGTCACTCACGTCAGATAGTAGCAGTGTTGTGTTTGATTCATGCTGTGTAGAGTTCAGTTAAACCATTCTTACAATCTCACAGATATTTTTACTTTGTGTGATTAACTCAACTCCAAATCGACCAGAGAATGTAATCTATTGTCATGGTAACTAAAATGAAAACAGATAAATCAACTATATTGGACTACTGCTTCCCTTTGCTGATGTTAATGCTGAGTGGCTGAACGTATACGGCTCCATCTGTTAAAATAGTGAGAAACGGTTGAAAACACACAGTAAAAACAATGTCCAATAAGCGTAGTAAAACTTAAGAGATAGGTTTGGTTATCATATAATTCTTAGAGAATACTTTAAATCAATAATATTTGTTGAAATCAGAGACCAAATCATTATAGAAAACAACTTGTTAGAACAGGAAAAAAAATACTTTCTACACCTCCCAGTGCTTTCTTCGCTGAAAATAAAACGAATAAAATGACTGTCTCACTCTCTAACAAAAGAGCATAGACAGAAACGGGGGGGAGGGGGTCCACCTCCATTCATGCAATCACTCTTCCTTGCTCTCTAATCTCACTACAGATATCAGTCAGTAGTGATTTGCTCTGTCCGTCCCCCTTCACTCCGCTCTCTGTCAGTATGACGTCATCGCTCCCTCTACCCCCTGCAGGTGGGTGTTGGTCGTCCTGGGCTCTTCAGTAGGCACCATAGCGATCCTAACACACAAACACAAGAAGCTGGGTCAGCAGATTAGGAACCATCTGGTGACGTTTTCCTTCCAAAACTAGAGAACAGAGTGGTATGTTTTTTTTCCAAAACTAGAGAACAGAGTGGTATGTTTTCCTTCCAAAACTAGAGAACAGAGTGGTATGTTTTCCTTCCAATCCTAGAGAACAGAGTGGTATGTTTTCCTTCCAAAACTAGAGAACAGTGGTGATCATTAGGTACCAAACTAAATGGTGATCATTAGGTACCAAACTGAAGAAAACTGACTGAAACAGGAAGAAACCACCTGGACTTGTTCAACACAAACGCTACATTTCCGTTTTCAGTTGCAAAACGTCTTCGGTTGTGTGTTCTACGAGACAAACAGGACAGGTTCTCTGTATGTGTAATTGTATTGTGGTGAGGTGTCTCTGGTCCCTTCACCTGTATGGTGTTCATGACTCCGTTGGCCAGCACGGCCATCTTGCCTGCCACAGTCTTCACCCCCTGTTTGAACTGAGCAATGTCCGGCCCAGTCGGCAGCACACTGTCATAACCTGCCGCCCCTGAGGAGACAGAGCGAGAAAGAGAGAGATCACACACACACACACACACACAAATACTCAAAACACACACCATTAACCCTTACCTGTGTCACGGTCACTCCCGTCCCCAAACAGGTCAGCAGAGCTGATGGACGTGTTGCCAGACAGGCCCTCCAGACGTGTCTTGGCCTCATACTGGGGAATGACAGAACAACACCATCTCATTAGACTAGACAACACCAACAACACCATCTCATTAGACTAGAATACACCAACAACACCATCTCATTAGACTAGTCAACACCAACAACACCATCTCATTCGACTAGTCAACACCAACAACACCATCTCATTAGACTAGACAACACCATCTCATTAGACTAGTCAACACCAACAACACCATCTCATTAGACTAGTCAATACCAACAACACCATCTCATTAGACTAGTCAACACCAACAGACTACACCATCTCATTAGACTAGACTACACCAACAACACCATCTCATTAGACTAGACTACACCAAAAACACCATCTCATTAGACTAGACCAACAACACCATCATTAGACCACACCACAACACCATCTCATTAGACTAGACCACACCATCTCATTAGACTAGACAATACCATCTCATTAGACTAGACAACACCATCTCATTAGACTAGACAACACCAACAACACCATCTCATTAAACTAGACTACACCAATAACACCATCTCATTAAACTAGACAACACCAACAACACCATCTCAGTAGACTAGTCAACACCAACACCATCTCATTAGACTAGTCAACACCAACAACACTATCTCATTAGACTAGTCAACACTATCTCATTAAACTAGACAACGTTGAACGCCATGCTCTACCAACTGAGCTACATCCCTGCTGGCCATTCCCTCCCCTACCCTGGACGACGCTGGGCCAATTGTGCGCCGCCCCATGGGTCTCCCGGTCACGGCCAGCTACGACAGAGCCTGGATTCGAACCAGGATCTCTAGTGGCACAGCGTGGCCAGTGCCTTAGACCACTGCGCCACTCGGGAGATTAGACTAGACAACACCAACAACACCATCTCATTAGACTAGACAACACCAACAACACCATCTCATTAGACTAGCCTAGTCAATACCAACATCTCATTAGACTAGTCAACACCAACAACACCATCTCATTAGACTAGACAACACCATCTCATTAGACTAGACAATACCATCTCATTAGACTAGACAACACCATCTCATTAGACTAGACAACACCATCTCATTAAACTAGACAACACCAACAACACCATCTCATTAAACTAGACTACACCAACAACACCATCTCATTAAACTAGACAACACCAACAACACCATCTCATTAGACTAGTCAACACCAACACCATCTCATTAAACTAGACAACACCAACAACACCATCTCATTAGACTAGACAATACCAACACCATCTCATTAAACTAGACAACACCAACAACACCATCTCATTAAACTAGACTACACCAATAACACCATCTCATTAGACTAGACAACACCAACAACACCATCTCATTAGACTAGTCAACACCAACACCATCTCATTAGACTAGACAACACCAACAACACCATCTCATTAGACTAGCCTAGTCAATACCAACATCTCATTAGACTAGTCAACACCAACAACACCATCTCATTAGACTAGACAACACCAACAACACCATCTCATTAGTTTAGGGTTGACCCCATTTAGTCGACTGGTCGATTGATATTTATTTAGTTGAGCAGTCAGTCGCAATGTTTATTTTTATTTTTACGGCGTACAAGACACCAGTCTGATTGGCGCCTGTCTGAGTGGACTGATCCATTGTGGAGGCCGTGGGGGTGGCACAGTCCATCAGTCTAAGACATGTGCTACTGAAATTGTATATGGTTATATTACGTAAGAACAATAGTGCAACACTAATAAAAATAACATTTTATAACATGCGCTTTCTCCCCCGTTGGATAGCGGTCGCTGTCTGTGGTTCAGAAACATCAGTGCGCTGTTGAATTGCCGCCTTTTCCTAGCCCATGTTGCCATGTGCATAATAGCAAAGTTAACCAGCATATTGGTGTTGAGAACAATGAGGGGGAGACAGCAGCGGAGTGAGGAGACGAGGAAACAGCCCTTGCCTTAATTGTCTAATCACAAAATGTCGGATACAGCAATTTCACAAATTCTGCTGTTTTTTTTACTTTACGGGATGCTCTGGATCGACGTGTACGACAGCGCGTTCCAGTTCCCGCCAATATCCAGCAACTTCGCACAACCATTGAAGAGGAGTGGGACAACATTCTACAGGCTACAATCAACAGCCTGATCAACTATGCGAAGGAGATGTGTCGCGCTGCATGAGGCAAATGGTGGTCACCAGATACTGACTGGTCCAAGCCCCTACCTCTTTTTTTAAGGTATCTGTGACCAACAGATGCATATCTGTATTCCCAGTCATGTGAAATCCATAGATTAGGGCGTAATGAATCTATTTCAATATACTGATTTCCTCATATGAACTGTAACTCAGTAAAATCTTTGAAATTGTTGCATGTTGCGTTTATATTTTTGTGTACTTTTTTATTTATATTTTTGTATACTTATTTATTTAGTGTTGTTTACACTGTTCCAAACGGCCAGAAACATTATATTGTAATCCAACAGCACGTTTGTCACGATATGCAAACAGCTCTCGCTCCTATGCGCTTTTTTCTTAATCTCCTTATTGTTATTATAATAATAATTAATGTCGTTATCATTAGTAGGCTTAGTATAGCAGCCTTGTATAACCACCATCGAGCTGTAGGCCGAAGAGCTCATTCTGTTTAGCTGTCTTCATCCTGTAATTTACTGAGGCCTATATGTCAATATATAGGCTACTGCATTAATCAAAGCATTCATTCGCTCATGTCGTCACACAGCATACGAGTCATTCATGATTTGAAACGCAATCAAGCATTTTAGTTTTTAGAATGAAATAACAAAATAATGAATAATTAGCCTAAACTATAAATAAACTGTAACGAAATGCACACGACTGTTTTTAGTCTTCGCTGTAATGAAGGCTCTACAAAAAAGGTACATTTATAATGTATTTTGTGTTGTTTACACTGTTCCAAAAGGTCAGAAATAAATGATATGGTAATCTAACAGCACCTGTTTGGAACACATAATATGCATGCAGCGCTTGCTCCTTACGTTTCTTATTTTTCTTGATCACATTTCTTCCACACATCTGACTTCCCCTTTTCCCCTCCTGAGTAACCAGTAAACATTCCCCCGTTTCCCCTCCTGAGTAACCAGTAAACATTCCCCTTTCCCCTCCTGAGTAACCAGTAAACATTCCCCTTTCCCCTCCTGAGTAACCAGTAAACATTCCCCTTTTCCCCTCCTGAGTAACCAGTAAACATTCCCCTTTCCCCTCCTGAGTAACCAGTAAACATTCCCCTTTCCCCTCCTGAGTAACCAGTAAACATTCCCCTTTCCCCTCCTGAGTAACCAGTAAACATTCCCCTTTCCCCTCCTGAGTAACCAGTAAACATTCCCCTTTCCCCTCCTGAGTAACCAGTAAACATTCCCCTTTCCCCTCCTGAGTAACCAGTAAACATTCCCCTTTTCCCCTCCTGAGTAACCAGTAAACATTCCCCTTTTCCCCTCCTGAGTAACCAGTAAACATTCCCCTTTTCCCCTCCTGAGTAACCAGTAAACATTCCCCCGTTTCCCCTCCTGAGTAACCAGTAAACATTCCCCCGTTTCCCCTCCTGAGTAACCAGTAAACATTCCCCCGTTTTCCCCTCCTGAGTAACCAGTAAACATTCCCCTTTCCCCTCCTGAGTAACCAGTAAACATTCCCCTTTTCCCCTCCTGAGTAACCAGTAAACATTCCCCTTTCCCCTCCTGAGTAACCAGTAAACATTCCCCTTTTCCCCTCCTGAGTAACCAGTAAACATTCCCCTTTTCCCCTCCTGAGTAACCAGTAAACATTCCCCCAGTTTCCAGTTTCTTTTTCACGTCCTCCGCATTCATTTTTACTGTCACGTGTGTTACGGTGTTCAGATCTGGTTATAACTAATGTATTGATGTGATTATGATATGCTATAGGTCAGGCCTCATTGGTTACGTTCATGCGATACGTACACGTGTCACGTGAAAAGAGCAAGGTCTGAGGGAATGGGGAATGTTTTTCCTAAACAAATGAGGGATTTCGGTAACAGAACTTTTCAGTCGGAAATGTCTGTAATTATGTTGCAGCTTCAGCAACATGGACAGCGTGATGAACACGGCTGATGTTCTGTGGTGGTCGCTGCATCATGGGGGGAGAGAGAAGCAACAGGTGCTAGTCACAGTCACTCGCTGTCTTTTTTTTTTTTAACACAGCAAGTCTGAGCCTGGACCAGGCTCCCTCTAGACTAATTTGTGTCTTAATTATTTAATCAAACAGTTCGCTTAAAGCTTCAGACAAGTTCAGTGCATATAGTTGATTTGATTAAAACACATAGGGTGTGTCTATATATGGAAAAATACACGTTATAAAATTTAGACCAATCAATTGGTAGAAAAGAACAGACGACTCTAGGTCGACCAATATATCTCGTTTTTTCTCATTAGCTAAACAAGTCAACACCAACAACACCATCTCATTAGACTAGACTACACCAACAACACCATCTCATTAGACTAGACAACACCAACAACACCATCTCATTAGACTAGACAACACCAACAACACCATCTCATTAGACTAGACAACACCAACAACACCTTCTCATTAGACTAGACTACACCAACAACACCATCTCATTAGACTAGACAACACCAACAACCCCATCTCATTAGACTAGACAACACCAACAACACCATCTCATTAGACTAGTCAACAACATCTCAATAGACTAGTCAACACCAACAACACCATCTCATTAGACTAGACTACACCAACAACACCATCTCATTAGACTAGACAACAACATCTCATTAGACTAGTCAACACCAACAACACCATCTCATTAGACTAGACAACATCTCAATAGACTAGTCAACACCAACAACACCATCTCATTAGACTAGACTACACCAACAACACCATCTCATTAGACTAGACAACAACATCTCATTAGACTAGTCAACACCAACAACACCATCTCATTAGACTAGACAACACCATCTCATTAGACTAGACAACAACATCTCAATAGACTAGACAACAACATCTCATTAGACTAGTCAACACCAACAACACCATCTCATTAGACTAGACAACAACATCTCAATAGACTAGTCAACACCAACAACACCATCTCATTAGACTAGACTACACCAACAACACCATCTCATTAGACTAGACTACACCAACAACACCATCTCATTAGACTAGACTACACCAACAACACCATCTCATTAGACTAGACTACACCAACAACACCATCTCATTAGACTAGACTACACCAACAACACCTTCTCATTAGACTAGACAGTACCAACAACACCTTCTCATTAGACTAGTCAACAACTTCTCATTAGACTACAGTACCAACAACACCTTCTCATTAAACTAATCAACACCAACAACACCATCTCATTAGACTAGTCAACGCCAACAACACCATACTAGACCAGATCATACTAGACCAGACCATACTAGACCAGACCATACTAGACCAGACCATACTAGACCAGATCATACTAGACCAGACCATACTAGACCAGATCATACTAGACCAGACCATACTAGACCAGACCATACTAGACCAGATCATACTAGACCAGACCATACTAGACCAGATCATACTAGACCAGACCATACTAGACCAGATCATACTAGACCAGACCATACTAGACCAGACCATACTAGACTGGCGGTTGTCTTGAATGCGGCCTGCCTTGCTCTAGAGGTTACCGTTCAGTTGACCGGTGGCACTTTACCTCGGCGTTGCTCTCGCGGCCGAAGTACATGTCGGAAGAGATGGCCTTTGCGTTGGCAAACTTCTGCCTGGCCTCGCTCGTCTCGGCCACAGGCGCCGCAGCCTCCGCCTTTCGCCGACTGGGCCGTTCTCCAATAGGCTGAATGCTGGAGATGGTCACCTCCTCTTTAGGCTCCTCCTTCTCCAGAGCCCAGGAGGAGGTGAAGGAGGCCACGCCCCCCTCAGAGTCCCACCGTGAGCCGAAGCCGTCGCCTGCCGTGAACGGGTTGTCCTTGTACCTGTCCCAACAAAACACACACAGGCAGGGAGATATCCAATGTTGTTGGTCAGGCAGGGATACACAAGGACACATTCACAATGGATTGGATCTGAGGAAACCGAGGTAGACAAAGGGATGTATTTCCTATTCCAAATCTACCCCTAAGCCACAGACCCAAGGCTCCACCCCTAAGCCACAGACCCAAGGCTCTACCCCTAACCCACAGACCCAAGGCTCTACCCCTAACCCACAGACCCAAGGCTCTACCCCTAACCCACAGACCCAAGGCTCTACCCCTAACCCACAGACCCAAGGCTCTACCCCTAACCCACAGACCCATGGCTCTACCCCTAACCCACAGACCCATGGCTCTACCCCTAACCCACAGACCCAAGGCTCTACCCCTAACCCACAGACCCATGGCTCTACCCCTAACCCACAGACCCAAGGCTCTTGGATAGATATGAAAGGATTAGATAGATGTGTTAGCAAGATGAAGACAATTCTATCTAGCCTATCTCAGGGCAAGTTGTAGCCATTACCACATTGTTAATACCAATCTAATCCTTTCAGCTGTACACAACAACCCCAGTACCTGGGAGGTAGCTAGCTAGGGGTTGGAAGTCCATTTGGAATTGGACAGGAACCCGTTTTTACACTACTCCTCCTTAGGAGAAGACATTCTGATCTGTCTGGGGTCCGTACTTAGGGGGTCCGGAGGAGAAGCCCGGCTCATCGAACATGTCCAGTTTGGAGCGAGGCGAGGACTTGGCCCCCACGGGCGTCTCCTGCTCAATCACCTGCATCTCTGACATCACCGAGTGAGATATGGTGCTGGAATACACAGAATACACACACTTAGTCATGTCCACACACACAATAATGTGCTGCAACACAATCTATATACACACACAGACACCGTAAACACACAAACGCCACTGAAGTTAAAGCCACACTCTGTAAGATGGGTATCTCATCAAAGATTGTGCCACCAACCAAAAGCGTAAACAATTAAAGGGACACTTGGGGATTTTGGACATGAGGGATGGACTCGTGGATACCATTTTTATGTCTCTACGTGCAGTTTGAAGGAAGTTGCTAACTAGCATGCTAGTAGATACCCATATATTTCCAGTCATTGCGCTAAAGCTAGTTAGCATTGGCTCACAAAACGACCTCTAACTTCCTTCATACTGAACGCAGAGACATAAAAATGGTCTCCACGAGTTCATCTGACTCTGGGGACGTAGATAAAGGACCTCATTGCCAACATCCCGAAGTATCCCTTTTAAGCAAATGCAATAGCCTACATTAGCACAAGCAAACAGGCAGCACTTGATTGCTATTTGTAGTGCTCAAGGAATGCTTATTCCATGAGAGAAACATTACTGTTCTTTGAAAATATCATTTGAATACGGCTAATTTTATTACCTGCGGTTGCCGAAGCCCATGCCCAGCCTCTCAGCCTGCTCTCTCTTCTTACCCTCCATGTTCTGCATCTTCCTGTCTTCCATCTTCCTGTCAATCTCCAGCTCCTTGTAGGCCAGGCGCATGGAGGCCACACTGCAAAAAGAGAGACATTTGTGAATTGTACTACATTCATTTGCAACAATTTTGCCTGTTTGGAACTTTAGGAAATGAAGCTTCTCCTCCCAACCAGGAAATGAAGCTTCTCCTCCCAACCAGGAAATGAAGCTTCTCCTCCCAACCGTACTGTTCTCCTCATAAAATGATTACTAACTTTACCTTCTTCGTGTATAAAATGTATTAAGACGATGATTTTATTTTTTCACGGTTAGAGTCCATAATTGTCGGTTACACGATAACACAATTATTGCGCTAGCCCTAATGCTGACGTGATGTCACTACTTGCTGTACTCAAGGAAACCTTCTATTCACTTTTTTTTGTATGCAAAAGTATGCTGCATTATTTGCAGCAGGATTTATTCTACCTCTGAACAGTCTGACCACGAGAAGACAGCAAATCTGAATTTAGCGTAAACACTCAGCAGCATGAAGGGCAGCGTGTTGGGGCGGAGGCGTTTCCTTGCTCTCCGACGGTCACACTGTGGTTCACTCACATGGACTCCTCTGCATGTTTGTTAGCCTCAGCTGCTTGCTCCTCCCTCAGCTTCTCAGCTACCTGGGCCTGTTTCTCCACCTCTGAGAAGCTCTTGCTGCTCACCTTCTGCGCCCCCAGGCCCTTCTTAGCACCCAGCTGGAGGGAGAGAGGAACACAGAGGAGATGGTTACACACAGCTGGGGACGGAGAGGAACTGACTGCCCCCCCAGTGGACAAGTGGTAGTATTACATTCATGGTTTGATCAATGCACTCAAATCAAATCAAATGTTATTGGTCACATACACGTGTTTAGGGGTTGGTGGTGGTTCTGATTTGGGACATTAGTTTTTCTGGTCAACGTGACTTATCCAGGAACAACACTGAGCCCTAACTACATGACAGAACTAGGGCCCCAAGTGTTTCCTAGTCGGGTCACGTGGAACACGCAAAACCCTGCCCCTCATGCAGAGCAACCTGTCTGAGTGCTGAAGGGGGAGGAACTTACCCCTTTCTTAGTAGTGGTGGGCTTCTTTTTCCCAATGATGGACTGCTTCACATCTGTAACACAAAGCTCATCATCAGAACACTGGTGGACACCGACAGGCCAGGGACTCCCGATTAGTAAATCGCTCTGCACAACTTCGAAAAAAGGAACGCAAGTCGCACACACACCAGTGTTTCCCCTACAAATGCATAGGCGGGACCCATACATGTGAATGCACAAACTGTTGTACGTTTCCCCCTCTATTAAAAAAAGGTGCAAACATTTAGCAGACTCTATACAAAAGAACATGTCAACACACTCAGATGAGAAATAGTTTTCCAACAGTCCTTTGATCCCATCAAAGCAGTTTCAAGACAAACTTTGCCATGTGCTGCAGCCAGCAGTGTTATAGCATTGCAGCTGAAGGACAGCACCATTGGCATATACATGACAGAAAGAGGTTCATTTGGTTACGTTATTCTAAAGTCATGGGACATACAGTTCCTATAATAAGTATTCACCCCTTTGGACTTCCACATTTTGTTACAAAGTAGGACTGAAATGATCCGCACAAAACCATTGATCCATACCAAATACTCCATGTCAAACAGAAAATAAAATTATATAAAACGTTCACAAATTAAGAAAAATGAATTAACTCAAATATCTTGAATGTATAGATATAGGCGAGCTTAAATTAGTTCAGCAGAACACATTTGCATAGCAAAACACACAATAAGTTGCACGGCCTCAGTGTGTGACATCATAGGGGTTAACGTGATTTGAATGACCCTTTCTTGGTTCCCCAAACATACAACCTCTGTAAGGTCAGACACATTTCAGTTGAATGCATTCAGTTGTACAACTGACCAGGTATCCCCCTTTCCCTTTCCCTCAGTGAAGTAGTGCATTTCAAGCAGATTCAACCAACAACCAGGGAGCTTTTCAAATGCCTCATAAAGAAGGGCAGCGATTGGTAGATGGGTTCAAAAAATTTTTTAAAAAAAAATAAAAGACAGACACTGAATATCCCTTTAAGCATGGTCAAGTTATTCATTAGGCTTTGGCTGGTGTATCAAACCACCCAGACGTCCTTCCTAACTGAGCTGCCGGACGGGAAGGAAACCGTGCGGTGATGTCATCACGAGTCCTACGGTGACTTTAAAACAGCTACAGGGTTTTAATGGCTGTGATGGGACAACACTAAGGATGGCTCAACAACATTGTAGTCACTCCACAATACCGATGTAAATGACAGTCAAAAGAAGGAAGCCTGTACAGAATTGTATCCCCCACTTTGGCATGACAGTATTTTGTGTAGATCAGTGACAAAAGAAAAAAACTAATTAAATCAATTTTAACCCCACTTTGTAACACAATAAAACATGAAGAAGTCCAAGGGGAGTGAAAAACATTTGATAGGCACTAAGCCTGCTAGATCTGCCACCGAGGATACATGTTGAATAGGGGTTGTCTGACTGTTTTATTAATGTTAGGAGACTGGAAGAAAGGTTTAGCAGTTACACATTGTAGTTAGAGCTGGGAGGGAAGGGCTTAAGCTTGCGTGTCACAATCGGATGAAGTGTCAAGTCAAGCACAGAACCAGCCATGCTTCCTGAAAATCTGGCCAGCCAATGGGCTAACGGCAGCTTTTTAAAAAAAGGCGTTCCAATCACCTTTGGGTAGCTGTGGTTGATCTGATGACAAACGCATCGAGTCCTCTACGGACAAAGCAGACACAGGTGTTACTGAGGGCTCCACAGTCACATGGGAAAACCTCCAGTGACTGTGTTCTAGGATTCGCTACACATGCATGTGAGGGTTAGGGACAATTTGGTGCGTGGTCCAAACGTCTAAATCAGGGGGGGTCTCCAATTCTGGGAAGAGCCAACAAGGGGGGGGGGGTTACTGTGGATGTTGAGGTCTGTAAATGGCTACAGTCCCAATGTTACCATCACCTACTCCTTGTTTTTAAGGTCAGCAAAGATGCGTGGAGGGGTGAGGGGAGGAGCTGTTGTCATGTGAAAGGGGGGCAGAGGAGGAACAGGACGCTGGCTGTGGACTTACCTATAGTGACTTTGGGAGATGGCTCAGTGCTCAGTCCCTCAATGCTTGGGCCTTCCTCCTGCTCTGAGAACGGCAAATACAATCACAGATCAACTGTCTAGTTCAAAAACAGAAATGTATGGGAAAGCTCCAGACGAAAGGATAGGAGAGGGGGGACTGTGTGTGTGTGTGTGTGTGTGTGTGTGTGTGTGTGAGACAGACTCACGAGTGCTGGCGGTGTGGGGGGCTTTGGGTGTGTCCTCCAATAGTTGAGGGTTGAGGGCTCCATTGTGTTCTGTCATGGAAGGAGCCGTCATGTCCCAGCTGTTTAAAGGCTGCAAATACACCAATTCATTCACATTAAATAACACACACACACACAGAACCACACGCACACACAACCAACACTACCGCACACACAGAATGAACACAGAAGCACAAAACACTTGTGTGGTTAGTGTGATTTGAACAGTAGACCTCAGGCCTACCTGAGTATGCTCGGCAAAGAAGTCTGTCTGTCTCTTCTCTGGGGCTGCAGGCTGGCTGCCCACACTGGGTGAGTCAATCCACAGCTGAGAGAAAAAGGGAAGGGTTTTACGGACAGCATTCACAGCCAACTGACATTTACTCCTGAGGTGCTGACCTGCTGCACTCTCTACAACCACTGTGATTAGTATTTGACCCTGCTGGTCATCTATGAACGTTTAAACATCTTGAAGAACGCTCTGGCCTTAATGGCCATGTACTCATATAATCTCCACCCGGCACAGCCAGAAGAGGACTGGCCACCCCTCAGAGCCTGGTTCCTCTCTAGGTTTCTTCCTAGGTTTCTGCCTTTCTAGGGAGTTTTTCCTAGCCACTGTGCTTCTACATCTGCTTTGCTTGCTGTTTGGGGTTTGAGGCTGGGTTTCTGTATAGCACTTTGTGACATCTGCTGATGTAAAAATGGCTTTATAAATACATTTGATTTAGATGGCCCAGAGTCAAATCAACCCCTGGTCTCTATAGATAAATCATATGTCTATACCCAATAGATTTATGAAAGGAATATTCTTGTCATGTGGGCCGTATTGATGTCCCATTTTAAATCTAGCTCAGCTCTATCACACCTGCTTAAACAGTTTGTCCCAAACTGAAGACCATAGTTGATGATTTGAAACTAGTGAGTTAAAATTTGAAACACCTCAACACACTCACAGCGCATTACCAATCTGAATTGGTATCCGCAAAAAGCCTTGTGTGGACCTTGAAGTGTATCTGCAAGCGGCTGCACCGATAAGAACAGATATGGTGTTTGTGGGTAATTATGTATCGTGTGGTCTATCCACAAGACATGACTTAATGCTGCTGGTGACATCACACGTGGAGTTTGGCCACTCGCTAGTGACTCAACAGGCCAACGTGTAGCTGATATGGGGGTCTGTGAGAGGGACGAGAGAGGGGGAGTTCGTTGCCTTCTCAGTGGAGGAATAATATCAGTAGGAATATATAGGTCTATATAGAGAACCATAAGACATAATAATAATATCAGTAGGAATATATAGGTCTATATAGAGAACCATAAGACATAATAATAATATCAGTAGGAATATATAGGTCTATATAGAGAACCATAAGACATAATAATAATATCAGTAGGAATATATAGGTCTATATAGAGAACCATAAGACATAATAATAATAATATCAGTAGGAATATATAGGTCTATATAGAGAACCATACGACATAATAATATCAGTAGGAATATATAGACCTATATAGAGAACCATAAGACATAATAATAATATCAGTAGGAATATATAGGTCTATATAGAGAACCATAAGACATAATAATATCAGTAGGAATATATAGGTCTATATAGAGAACCATAAGACATAATAATAATATCAGTAGGAATATATAGGTCTATATAGAGAACCATAAGACATAATAATAATATCAGTAGGAATATATAGGTCTATATAGAGAACCATAAGACATAATAATATCAGTAGGAATATATAGGTCTATATAGAGAACCATAAGACATAATAATAATATCAGTAGGAATATATAGACCTATATAGAGAACCATAAGACATAATAATATCAGTAGGAATATATAGACCTATATAGAGAACCATAAGACATAATAATATCAGTAGGAATATATAGGTCTATATAGAGAACCATAAGACATAATAATAATATCAGTAGGAATATATAGGTCTATATAGAGAACCATAATACATAATAATATCAGTAGGAATATATAGACCTATATAGAGAACCATAAGACCTAATAATATCAGTAGGAATATATAGGTCTATATAGAGAACCATAAGACATAATAATATCAGTAGGAATATATAGGTCTATATAGAGAACCATAAGACATAATAATATCAGTAGGAATATATAGGTCTATATAGAGAACCATAAGACATAATAATAATAATATCAGTAGGAATATATAGGTCTATATAGAGAACCATACGACATAATAATATCAGTAGGAATATATAGACCTATATAGAGAACCATAAGACATAATAATAATATCAGTAGGAATATATAGGTCTATATAGAGAACCATAAGACATAATAATATCAGTAGGAATATATAGGTCTATATAGAGAACCATAAGACATAATAATAATATCAGTAGGAATATATAGACCTATATAGAGAACCATAAGACATAATAATATCAGTAGGAATATATAGACCTATATAGAGAACCATAAGACATAATAATATCAGTAGGAATATATAGGTCTATATAGAGAACCATAAGACATAATAATAATATCAGTAGGAATATATAGGTCTATATAGAGAACCATAATACATAATAATATCAGTAGGAATATATAGACCTATATAGAGAACCATAAGACCTAATAATATCAGTAGGAATATATAGGTCTATATAGAGAACCATAAGACATAATAATATCAGTAGGAATATATAGGTCTATATAGAGAACCATAAGACATAATAATATCAGTAGGAATATATAGGTCTATATAGAGAACCATAAGACATAATAATAATATCAGTAGGAATATATAGGTCTATATAGAGAACCATAAGACATAATAATATCAGTAGGAATATATAGACCTATATAGAGAACCATAAGACATAATAATAATATCAGTAGGAATATATAGGTCTATATAGAGAACCATAAGACATAATAATATCAGTAGGAATATATAGACCTATATAGAGAACCATAAGACATAATAATATCAGTAGGAATATATAGGTCTATATAGAGAACCATAAGACATAATAATAATATCAGTAGGAATATATAGGTCTATATAGAGAACCATAAGACCTAATAATAATATCAGTAGGAATATATAGGTCTATATAGAGAACCATAAGACCTAATAATAATATCAGTAGGAATATATAGGTCTATATAGAGAACCATAAGACCTAATAATAATATCAGTAGGAATATATAGGTCTATATAGAGAACCATAAGACATAATAATAATATCAGTAGGAATATATAGGTCTATATAGAGAACCATAAGACATAATAATATCAGTAGGAATATATAGGTCTATATAGAGAACCATAAGACATAATAATATCAGTAGGAATATATAGGTCTATATAGAGAACCATAAGACATAATAATATCAGTAGGAATATATAGGTCTATATAGAGAACCATAAGATCTAATAATAATATCAGTAGGAATATATAGGTCTATATAGAGAACCATAAGACATAATAATAATATCAACAGGAATTTAAACAACTCAATAAAAATGGTGTAATTCCAAAAGCTCAATTTTCAGTGGTATAGTGGTCACAACCACAACTTGGGAGTAGGGATATCACTGTGAGCCTAGTTTATGGGTTGTTACATGCATACATGCTACATAAGGTACGGTACGTTTGGTTGACCGTTGGAAGCTGCGCTCACAGCCCATACTTACGTCGGACCCATATTTAGACAGTGCCGTGTTGGCTTGCTGTCGGATCTTCTCTCGGTACATCTGTGCCGCGCGGCTGTTGTACTTGGCGGTGGTGTCATTGGTGGAGCAGCCGTGCTGGCGGAAGAAGGCCGTCTTCACCAGGAGGAGACGGACAAGAGGGGAGAGAGTCAGATGCAGAGCAGGTCCTGTTTAAAGTTGTGCGTTGCTCAACGTCTATGTATAACGGACGTTTATTATTTTTTTGAACGTACCGCGTTGGCATTGCCTCCGACCTGCATACATCTCAGCTGAAACCAGTTCCAGTTGGAGTCGAGCTCAGTGGATCTGTGGTGAAGAAAAAAAACATGGGGATTGTATCAAACGTTCTCCTCGACAATAAGCGTATGGCACGGCACACCTCTTCACTGACAGTAAAACTATGCGATTGTCGAGTCATGAGGTGTGTGTGTGTGTGTGTGTGGACAGACAACTAAGCTACCTGATAAAGCTGAGGTGCACTCCTAGAGAGCGATGAATGCCAGAGCAGTCGATACACAGAAACACTCCATACGGTATACTGGCCCAGCTGGGGTTCTTTGCAGCACAGTCAAAGCATGCCTGCACAGAAACAAACACACAATCCACTGCCTGGTTAGCGAGCGAGCTATCTACAGAAGACATGTCTGGATGTGGTCTTAAACAGGGAAGACAACAAGCTGTGTAGTTACAGCCATGGGACGCACATATACTCACTCATACATTAACCCTAAAAGCCCTGTTCATTGTCTCCTGACTAAACTCGAGGGTTATTTGCTCAAGATCTCAGGTTCTACATATGATCGCAGCCTCCAGGATTGGATGTTCATGAATAGCTTTCCTGCTTTTTTTTTTTTTTAACTTCACTGTCAGTGAATGCATAGCTAACATAAAAATGGCAGTGAGCGCGTCTCGATAATACAAAGTGGTTCACGGAGAAAAGGAAGACATTTTGGACTATTGAGATGCACCCAATCAGAGAGGAAGAGGCGACGCGAGAGGGGAAACTGCTTGAGACATCTGTGGCATTGTGTTGTGTGACAAAACTGCACATTTAAGAGTGGCCTTTTATTGTCCCCAGCACAAGGTGCACCTGTGTAATGATCATGCTGTTTAATCAGCTTCTTGATATGCCACACCTGTCAGGTGGATGGATTATCTCAGCAAAGGAGAAATGTTCACCAATATGGATGTAAACAAATGTGTGCACAACATTTTAGAGAAGCTTTTTGTGCATATGGAAAATGTCTGGGATGTTCTATTTCCACTCATGAAACCAACACTTTACATGTTGCGTTTATATTTTTTTGTTCAGTGTAGGTTATTTTCAGAGGTAAACAGCAAAATACTCTAAACGGGAATTGACTCAATTGCGATACGGTTCTAGAAACAAAGCTCTTTACGTTCATATCACATCAAAATATTTGCACAAATGCAAAATATACACTTTTAAACGGCTTCATTCGCAGCCGACATTTTTTTAGTTACAACACGTTTGTGGCGGCCTTCTTCATTACACACGAACTGTGTTAGATAGCTAATTAGCACAGGTGTTCAGTCTTCCGTAAACACGCGCTGTAACATGGAAATATGGCCGTGTGGGGAGACTAACCCTATAGAAAAGGTATAAAGGGTCCTTTACATTTTTTGAAAATGTTTTCTCGCTGATATGAAAGTCCGGTTCTTTAGATTTCCAAGACCGTAGCGCAAGTGATGCGTGTTCAAGTTCAGACCGAGCTATTATAATTCCCCTGGGAAGAAGATGCGGAGAAAGTAGTTCGCGTCTATGGATGGGGTAGTCGACCCCGGGAATTTAGCTTGCTACGTTAAGCTAGGTAACGTTGCATTTTGGATATAACTAATTAGCTAGACATCTAGATAGCAAGCAAAATAACCTGCTGGTATGGCTAACGTTTGCTAGGAATCCAATTACGTTGACTTGGTGCTAGCTAGCTAGACAACCTTTCAGATTGGAAACGGCCCTACTCGTTCTGGCTCAAATAAGTCACCAGACTGGCTAACTAGGTTAGCCAAGCAGGGAGAGTCAACGACACAAAGCAGGCGCTAGGCATAGTTATAGTATACGTGGCTGATTTGGAGAGGCAAACTTTGCTATCTAGCCTAGTGAGCTAACGTCAACTTCTTGCTGGCCGTCGTAGCTAACGTTAAGGCCCAGACAGAGACCAGCTTGCTACTGTAGACGGATGGACGTCAGACTTTTTTTTCTGGTCTACGTTCTACCTCCAATAATGGACCATTACATGCTTATTAAATTAGTGAATGGACAGTAAGTACTTATTCGCGTTACCTTGTTAGTTGGAATAGACCGTAGTCTTTTAAAAATGGTCAAAATTTCTGTCTTGTTCGGCTCCGCAGCCATCTTGCTACCTTTCTAGAGGTACGGGTGCCAATGAGGATAAAAAATGCTGGGTTGTTCGCGAAGTTAGACCAGAGGTGATGCTGCGGTCATGTGCCCCTCGTAAAGTCGGAAACAAACAGGTTTTGTAAGAGCTTTGATTGTTTAAACTTTTTTTGGTATGCCTATTTGTCTTGCCGCAGCTCTACACACTGGCGACCCATTTGGGCCAGTTTGGTGTTCAGTAGGAGGGCAACAGCTGAAACATTCTACACTACAAATTGACATACCTTGGTAGGCTTAGAATGGCCATTAGGTCAAGGTGCATTCCGTCACTCGTTTACATGCTAGTCGGAACTAGAAAAATTTGAAATGTCAAACTTGCTGATTAGTTGAACACGGCACGTGCATAACTACAACCAGTTAGCAAGTCGGAAATGTTCTAGTTCCGACTAACACTTGAACGCGGCATTTTGCGCGCACGGTAGTGCGTCTAGTCCGACCTCATCCCCACTGTTGAAAAACATGGCGGGATTTCGATTAGACTGAACCGGGGTAAACCAGGCTATGGCCTGTCACGTCACCGGGCAAAAACGGTGAGGAAGGTAAGCCCAGCATCACCGGGCCATAATGTCAACAAAACAGCAAGATAAATCATTCAGAAACATAAATCATGTATTTTCTATAAAATATGTTACAACTTTCAAAGTAGTTTTCCTTGGGATACTTTTGCATGTGAAAACACAGAACCTTAACTCATTAGGTACTCCATGTGCTACACATACCTGACGTTTGATTTCAGCAAACTAATGCTGCTTTCAAGACAACTGGGAACTCAGGGACAAAACGAGCTCCGACTGGGGAAAATTGTTTTGTATTGGTCATCCAACAAGGAATTCCAAGTTCGGAACTCCGGCCTCTTTCTACAGCTCCGATTTTCAGACCTGAAGATCACTGACATCATGATTTGACCTCGTCATTTAATAACGCGCTGTTGCTCCGTGTCATGATTGGGCCTTATGCCGCTTTCAAGGGCTAGTCGGAACTAGGAAACTCAGAAATGTCTGGTTTGCTAACTGGTCGTAGTTATACACGTGCCGCGTTCAACCAGTTAGCAAGTCAGACATTTCCGGGTTTCCTAGTTCTGACTAGCGCGTAAAAGCGGCCTTTAAATCGAAGAACCGAGTATGCCTAGAGCGTTTGTGCAGTAAGCTTTGAAGAATTGGACCTTCTTTAAAATAAATATCAAATAAATGTACAAGCCGAAATAATAATTGTCACAAGAATAGGCCTATGCACAGGCTATATATCGATAGCCGAATAAGGCCATGGATTCATCATATTTAAAATAAAAAAGGATGTCTAGCTTTTTAAAATGCATGTAGGTATGTGTAGGTAAGGTCTAAACAAGAGAAAGTCCCCAATAAGATCAGTCTCATTGGCATCCTTTCATTACAAAAAATATATCTATCAATATATATATATATATATATATATCTCACAGGAGGTTATATGTATGTATGTATATATGTATGTATATATATATATATGTATGTATGTATGTGTGTGTATATATGTGTGTATATATGTATGTTTATGTGTGTATGTGTGTGTGTGTGTGTGTGTGTGTGTGTGTGTGTGTGTGTGTGTGTGTGTGTGTGTGTGTGTGTGTGTGTGTGTGTGTGTGTGTGTGTGTGTGTGTGTGTGTGTGTGTGTGTGTGTGTGTATATATATATATACAGTGAGGGAAAAAAGTATTTGATCCCCTGCTGATTTTGTACGTTTGCCCACTGACAAAGAAATTATCAGTCTATAATTTTAATGCTACATTTATTTGAACAGTGAGACAGAATAACAACAAAAAAATCCAGAAAAACGCATGTCAAAAATGTTATAAATTGATTTGCATTTTAATGAGGGAAATAAGTATTTGACCCCCTCTCAATCAGAAAGATTTCTGGCTCCCAGGTGTCTTTTATACAGGTAACGAGCTGAGATTAGGAGCACACTCTTAAAGGGAGTGCTCCTAATCTCAGTTTGTTACCTGTATAAAAGACACCTGTCCACAGAAGCAATCAATCAATCAGATTCCAAATTCTCCACCATAGCCAAGACCAAAGAGCTCTCCAAGGATGTCAGGGACAAGATTGTAGACCTACACAAGGCTGGAATGGGCTACAAGACCATCGCCAAGCAGCTTGGTGAGAAGGTGACAACAGTTGGTGCGATTATTTGCAAATGGAAGAAACACAAAATAACTGTCAATCTCCCTCGGCCTGGGGCTCCATGCAAGATCTCACCTCGTGGAGTTGCAATGATCATGAGAACGGTGAGGAATCAGCCCAGAACTATACGGGGGAATCTTGTCAATGATCTCAAGGCAGCTGGGACCACAGTCACCAAGAAAACAATTGGTAACACACTACGCCGTGAAGGACTGAAATCCTGCAGCGCCCGCAAGGTCCCCCTGCTCAAGAAAGCACATATACAGGCCCGTCTGAAGTTTGCCAATGAACATCTGAATGATTCAGAGGAGAACTGGGTGAGGTGTTGTGGTCAGATGAGACCAAAATCGAGCTCTTTGGCATCAACTCAACTCACCCTGTTTGGAGGAGGAGGAATGCTGCCTATGACCCCAAGAACACCATCCCCACCGTCAAACATGGAGGTGGAAACAAATCTTTGGGGGTGTTTTTCTGCTAAGGGGACGATGGACGGGCCATGTACCGTCAAATATTGGGTGAGAACATCCTTCCCTCAGCCAGGGCATTGAAAATGGGTCGTGGATGGGTTTTCCAGCATGACAATGACCCAAAACACACGGCCAAGGCAACAAAGGAGTGGCTCAAGAAGAAGCACATTAAGGTCCTGGAGTGGCCTAGCCAGTCTTTCTGGAGTGGCCTAGCCAGTCTTTCTGGAGTGGCCTAGCCAGTCTTTCTGGAGTGGCCTAGCCAGTCTTTCTGGAGTGGCCTAGCCAGTCTTTCTGGAGTGGCCTAGCCAGTCTTTCTGGAGTGGCCTAGCCAGTCTTTCTGGAGTGGCATAGCCAGTCTTTCTGGAGTGGCCTAGCCAGTCTTTCTGGAGTGGCATAGCCAGTCTTTCTGGAGTGGCCTATCCCTTTTTTGTTGTTATTCTGTCTCTCACTGTTCAAATAAACCTACCATTAAAATTATAGACTGATCATGTCTTTGTCAGTGGGCAAACGTACAAAATCAGCAGGGGATCAAATACTTTTTTTCCCTCACTGTATACAGGTAACGAGTTCAAACAGGTGCAGTTAATACAGGTAATGAGTGGAGAACAGGAGGGCTTCTTAAAGAAAAACTAACAGGTCTGTGAGAGCCGGAATTCTTACTGGTTGGTAGGTGATCAAATACTTATGTCATGCAATAAAATGCAAATTAATTACTTAAAAATCATACAATGTGATTTTCTGGATTATTGTTTTAGATTCCGTTTCTCACAGTTGAAGTGTACATATGATAAAAATTACAGACCTCTACATGCTTTGTAAGTAGGAAACCTGCAAAATCAGCAGTGTATCAAATACTTGTTCTCCCCACTGTATGTGTTTAAAATACTTTGAAGTGCATCACAAATCCGGTTATTCCAGTTATTGAACTACTCCACGCCTCTACCACATAAGTGAATATGAACGAGGCACTTGAAGGAAATGATCAGACGGACAGACAGATAGGCTAGGAGAACGCCATCATGGACCTTGGTAGGCTGCTCCTGCTGGTACTCAGCAGTGCCGTCTGCCACAGCACCGATTCAACGTACTATGGTGGGACTATGCGCTGTACAGTGCCGGGATACATTCCCCCGGACTCGAAATGGACAGGGGAGGTAGGTTCCTACGAGTGCATAACTTGATTTGCAATAAATAGTAAATAAATAGTCTACAAAGTATATGCCAAACCTGCCAGTGCCTTTACTACTGTAACACTCATAACCAGTGGTGGGAAAAGTACCCAATTGTCATACTTGAGTAAAATTAAACATAGAAAATGACTCAAGTGAAGTCATACAGTAAAATACTACTAGAGTAAAAGTCATACAATTATTACTTTTAAATGTACTTAAGTATCAAAAGTAAGTGTACTTGCTATAATATAGGATACTTAAGTATCAAAAGTAAAAGTAAATGCTATAAATCATTTCAAATTCCTTTTCAAACCAGACAGCACGAATTTTTAATTTTTATTTTTTATGTATGGATAGCCAGAGGCATACTCCAACACTCAGACATAATTTACAAACGAAGCATTTGCGTTTAGTGAGTCCTACAGATCCGAGGCAATAGTGATGACCGCTTGTTCCAGAACCGAACATTTTCCTGTCCTGCTAAGCATTCGAAATGAGTACTTTTGGGTGTCAAGGGAAATGTGGGTAAAAAAGTACATATTTTCTTTACAGGTACGGGGGGGACATGACCCACCCACATTCTGAAATTGAATTTTTTTCCCCCCCTAGTTTTATCATTGCACCGTTATACAAAAAGCTGCATCAGTGTGTTTTAGTACCATGCAGACACCTCAGAGCGGTCGGGTATGTTGTTTGGCGGTTTCAACTGGCTGGATTTAAGATCCGTGCGGACACCGCAGATCGTGCGGACAGGCTGTGGCTGCAGTCCAAACTCAAAGTTGACAGCGCTTGGCCCCAAACCCTCAGCCCTTGAATGACGTTTTCACATCCGAGTGTACCTTAAATGTCCCTTGCCCAAGCGAGGGAGAGTGATGATCGGAGAGGCAAACTTGGTGGAAATCTATAAATTGATCTTAAAAGCAACCAACCTAAAGCTATTAATGTACCTAGGCAGCACTCCTTTCAGGTAGCTAGCTACAGTTACCCATAGCTGGCTAGCTAGTTTTCGTTTGGTCATTTATTCCAATACATTTAAGAATTCCAAAAAATATGTTTATGAATCTAGCAATGTTTTATAGGCTCCTCACTTCAAGACTAAGGCAATTTGCCACAGCTAAAATCAATGTCTTCTATATATATTTTTTAGCACGCTTGCTTCATAATTTTGTCTGACATGCCGAAAATGCAGCATTGTTGATTACATTTGACACTTGGCGGCCACCAGAGTTTGACACATGACTACAGTTTGCATTGAATTGTGGGTCATATCAACCCCACAACTAATCAAAGTGCTCCATTCGCTCCCTCGAGCTAAATCGAGGGTCGAGGGGGCAATGTTTGTGAATTGAACCTCCACTTAAGATGGCAATCAAACTGCATCCGGTTTCGACCGGGATTCCCCTGGAAAGAGGCTAGCGCGAAGGCTGAGGGGGTAAAAATAATGTGTTTGGACTGCAGCCTGTTAGAAGCCAAAGTTTATGAACCGACACGGAGAGATGAACAGAGGTAGCTGCTGTCTGTGTTGCGCTTTTTCTCCGAGTTGTTAAAGCACTTTTTTTTTTAAACATAGTCCCCCCATTTTAGGGGGAGCAAAAGTATTGGGACAAATTCATTTGTATGTGTATAAAAGTATTAAAAAGTTAAGTATTTGGTCCCACATTCATAGCATCCAATGACTACATCAAGCTTGTGACTCTACACATTTGTTGGATGCATTTGCTGTTTGTTTTGGTTGTGTTTCACATCATTTTGTGGCTAATAGAAATTAATGGTAAATAATGTATTGTGTCATTTTGGAGTCACTTTTATTGTGAATAAAATATGTGTTTAAACACTTCTACATTATGTGCATGCTACCATGGTTACGGATAATCCTGAATGAATCCTGAATACTGATGAGTGAGAAAGTTAGACACAAATATCATACCCCCAAGACATGCTGTCCTCTCACTATTACAATAACAGGGGAGGTTAGCATTTTGATATTTGTGCTTCTATAACTTTCTCACTCAAGCTGACTTTAATCTAAAAAATATTTGTACTTAGTTACTTTACACCACTGCTCATAACTAATTTCACGTGGTAAATGTACAATTTCTGGAGGCAAAAGAAACACACACAATGCATTAAAATGGTTGAAATGATGTAGCCTAATTAATAACTTTTGAGGAATATTTTTATTTTTTTACATGGAAATTAAAATGAATGTCAGTAGAACATGTGATCATACAGGTTTGGCATGCACTTCCAATAAAAAATAATCTATAAACCAGCTCTGATTCTGAAAGCCACGTGTTCATCCATGCCTTTTCTTTAGCCACTGTTAAAGAAAACTGTTCAGACATGTAGAACAGATGTCTGACCAATCTTCATTGATTGGTGGAGTATCAGGTAAAAGATAGAACATCAACAGACAAGGACATGGCTAGGGTTGATGACAGTACACTGTAAACCCCAATGTGCTGTCATTACTCAAAACTTGTGAGGAAACTCATTGCACTTAATATGTCTTAAGTACAATTACTTAACGTGATATAGTCACTGTGACCCTGTAGGGATCCAGATTTTAGTTGTATCAGCTTGAACATTTGGAGTAATGCCCCCACTAAGCCACGCCTCCAATATAATTTCCCATTGTGCCTTGCCTTTTGGAGTGAATTGTTGAGTTACCACCCATTACTGTATTTGTTAGTGACAGAGACATGGTTGTTGAATTTGTTCTTTTTTCAGTCCTGTGACCTTCACCAAGTGAGTTCCTAGGCGAATGTTATCATTTTAATTAACTCCTTATGACAATAAATTACATATCTCATCAGGCCTTATTATGAGTCCTAGCTTTACCCTAATACAGTGGCCTGAAACTCATGGTTTACAGGCCACATAAGGTCTGCAAGTAACAGACTTATCATTTAGTTTTGAGTCAGTACTACTTAAACATTAAGTAAATAATTACTTTTCATTGAGTTCAACTTACTACAAGTATTTGAGTTAAAAATGCCTTGGGATTTACAGTGTAGTTTGTGGTCAATTCCAAGTAATTTCCTGTTAGTAGAATTGCAAATGAAAAATCTTAAAAGCAATTCATTAAAAAAATTAACAGCACGCCGAATCAAATCCACATCCAATGAAAGTAAGGAATTGATTTAGCAGCTTTTCAACATAAACTTGGTGCTGGAAGAAATTGGGGGAAAGATCGTCAAGTTGATAAATAGCATGAGAAATGGGACAATATTACAGTACATTTACCATCTAATGCACACTTGAGAACCATTCCATAAGATTAATTAATAGATTATATCAAACATGTATTACTTATTCTTTCTATCTCGGTGCAACCATTATTATTTCTATCTTGATTCAACCATTATTATTTATATCTTGATTCAACCATTATTATTTATATCTTGATTCAATCATTATTATTTATATCTTGATTCAACCATTATTATTTATATCTTGATTCAACCATTATTATTTATATCTTGATTCAACCATTATTATTTATATCTTGATTCAACCATTATTATTTATATCTTGATTCAACCATTATTATTTATATCTTGATTTTACATTTTTACATTTACACGTCATTTAGCAGACGCTCTTATCCAGAGCGACTTACAGTTAGTGCATACATTATTCTTTTTTATTTTCATACTGGCCCCCCGTGGGAATCGAACCCACAACCCTGGCGTTGCAAACGCCATGCTTTACCAACTGAGCTACCTCCCTGCCGGCCATTCCCTCCCCTACCCTGGACGACGCTGTGGCCAATTGTGCACCGCCCCATTGGTTTCCCGGTTGCAGCCGGCTACAGCAGAGCCTGAATTCGAACCAGGATCTCTAGTGGCACAGCTAGCCCTGCGATGCAGTGCCTTAGACCACTGCGCCACTCGGGAGGACTTGATGCAACCATTATTATTTATATCTTGATTCAACCATTATTCTTTCTAGCTTGATGCAACCATTATTCTTTATATCTTGATTCAACCATTCTTCTTTCTATCTTGATTCAACCGTTTCTAATCATTCTTAATGCAACCTATCTCCCCTATCAGGGCCCTATTTTCAAAAAGCTTCTCAGAGTAGTAGTGCTGATCTAGGATGACATCCCCCCTGTCCATATACTCTTATTCATTATGATCTAAAAGGCGAAACTGATCCTGTATCAGCCTCCTACTCTGAGACTGTCTGTGAATATGGGCCCTGACCTGTGTGCTGGCAGGTACAATTCCACTATCGTGAGAATGGCCGGGACAGGTGTGAACAGCAGTTCTCCTGGGAGTGCACCAGCGGCTCCTGTAATGGCAGTGCAAACCGACAAGGACCTGTCGTGCAAACCAACAAGGACCAGTCAGGCCAAAACCTCTGGTGCCAGTCGGAGGGACTCTTCACTAGGAACTTCACTAGGGACCAGAAAACCCAATCCTACACCCTGAGGTAAACTTGGATTTTCTGTGTGTGGTGGAGGAAGGGGGGGTTAATGTCAGCCTCTGGGTGTTTGGGTGTTAGAGACAGGAAGTAATCTGTGGAATGCTGTTTTGAAGAGTAATAAGCATGTCATCTAGGCGTCTTAACGCCTCACCCCCCGACACACACACAAACCCCCTATAGTTACTGTTGCTGTGTCTGTCGTGCTCCGATCCCATCAAACAACATTTTGCTGGATTTTAATGTTGGAAAGACATTGCATTGCAATCTGAGGACTGTTATATTGATGATGTGGATGGAATCGCTAGAAAAGACTGATGAATGATGTCATGTTAATCTAATACTTCAATGCACTGATTCAACCTCTCTTTGTAGTGACTCGGGTTGCTGTTGGGGCTCCAATGTCAATGGAAAGACCAACTGGACAATGCACACCGAGGTGGATTTGGGGTTACGGGTTAGCCCGGGGCCGCCAACGCAAAACACACCTCCTGTCACGGCAACTGTCCCAACCCTGCGGTAGGACCATGAGGGAAGCAAACTGAATGTATAAAAAATAGTTTCTGCCAAACAACCACGTACTAAACTTAGTGGCATATTTCAAACTGAGCCCTATTAACCCTTTAGAACCAATAGCGTCTGTCTCAGTAATCTACAGCAGCATTCTAGAATTCTATTGTGGTCTAAAAGGTTAAACAATATATTCCGTTTATACTCTACATCTAGATAACAACACAGTCATGTCGCTGTTATCTGTGATTATTATCTACTAATGAAAGTGTTTTGTTTCTCTCTGTGATGTCATGAGTAGAGTTCCTCAGAACTGCTTTTCCAGTCTTCCTCTCTTGGCCTATGACCCGGATGGAGATGACGTGAGGTGCCACTTCCCTGTGAACGTCACACACCGCAACATTACACTTGACAGGGTAAGAAAATAAACAATGTCCCTCCCTGCAGATTGATGTAGATTCAATCAAGCCCGTTTATTAACGGTTTAGTGCATGGGGTATATCAAGCTAGCTAAAATCATATTGGTTGAAGAATTGTTTACACTTCAAAGGCATGTGAACAATCCCCCCCAATGTTTTTATGAATATCGCTAGCAACAACAGAATAAAAACATTTCTTATTACATACCCACAGTAGAAAAGAGGAGAATATCTTCTTTCTAATGATGTCAACTTTTTCTCAACTCCTAATATTGAGCAAATTACACTCATGGGATCCAATTACACTCACTGGAGTATCTGACATAGGATTTAAAAAAGCACCCGCCAATAGGGGTGGCTTCATGTGCTCGTGGGAAATGGGAAACTGGGAAGTGGGAAGTCGTAAGTCCGACATGAATGTGTTCACGTGCCTTTGAAGGTGGAACAATTCTTCAACCAATAAGATTTTAGCTAGCTTGATAAGCTAACGTTGCTAATAATAAAGTTGGCTAGTTTGCTTAACATTGACGATATGGTCAAACTAGCTACATTATCCTCATTGATAACGTTGGTAATTGTCCAAAAAACGGATTTGTTGTCATCTTTTGGTTGAAAAGGTGAAAGGTCAGAGAACATGGCAACTCGGGTAACAACATTTTCTCCAAGTTTCCCACTTGTAATTCCGACTTGGAGGGTCTTTCAAGTGAAATTGTCCCACTTCCGATAACTCGGATAGCACGTGAACGCGGCATAGGCTACAAGTGCGGCAAGTGCCGCTGGCTGCTGCTAAGCTTTCTTGACGTGGACATAATGTTTTGCCAACACATGGCTAACCTTTGTTTAACCCGATAAACAGCTGCTCTTAGCGAAAATGTGTTTGGAGTTACCGTTCTAGCTAATAGGGCTATGTTAAAGTTTACACTTCATCTTCCAATTATAATGTGGGGAGGTCAAAAATAATGAAAACGATCTACCAAATCGATTCATTTTAAAACGTTGATTACTTCTCCTTGCCATTATCATTTACCTGATGTGAAGAAGAAAAAAAAAACGTTTTTTTGCTAACGTATGATGTTGGTCCCTGGTTTGCCTGGGAGGGGGACCCTGGGCAAGAACATGTTGAAGATCCCTGGTCTAGTGTGAAAGACCCCTGTTCATTATTATGTATTATATCCCATTCAATCCACTTGAGCACTGATCTAGAATCAGCTTTTCCATTTTAGATCATAATGAATAGGATTACGTGGACAGGGAGAACCTGTTCCTAGATCAGCAGTGTTATGAAGGTGGGGCCCAGGATTCACTGTATCTTCTGATCCCTCCAGGTCCAGTGTACTCTGCACGCCACAGGCCTGTTGGTTGTAGGGGTGCATTTATTTGAGATCCTGCTGCAGGACCACCCCGCTGTAGATGTCAACATGACGGGATATAAATCAAATTATACCAGGAAGGCCCTGAACGAGTCCTCTGTCAATAACCCAACTCCGACCCCGTTCAGCCGCGTGCCCTTGCAGTTTGCTGTGGAGAGTAAGTAGCATGTATCACTCTCACAGTTGAATGCCTCATTTTGGCATAGTGAACCAACCAATCAATTTAATTACATTTGATTTCTATAGCGTTTTGTCTAGTCGTATAATATGTATACATCAGTGACGTATAATCATTTGTCAAAAAAAAAGAACAGAATTTGAGTTGCATTTTGGAAAAGTGGCACAGGTTTGAAAATTGAAATCTTAGTTTGTTTATGCAAATCTTGTTTTGTTCACCTGGTGGAATGACAGTAAAGATGATGATGCATTCCAAAATGGCAGCCTACATGGTGTTACTCTCCCTAACTACAATCTACCTCTATTTACTGAGAGCAGCACAAAATGCTATCAATCTAGCAAAGAACAAACACCCTACTGCCCCTGAGAATATAATCCCACAACAATTTAGTCCGAAGTCATTGTCAGTCATTGTTTACAGACATGTATGTCCCTGTGGATCCTCTAAAGGGGCAATCTGGGATTCCAACAACAACAAAGCGGACACCCTGCCACTTTCTTTGGTAAACAGCTGAAGGATGGGGCTGGAGAAACGCAACCACTCTCAAATGTATAGACGGAGCTATGGATACAAGGACTGACCGTCCATGAAATCAAAATGATAGCTATGGATACAAGGACTCGCCATCCATGAGATCCAAATGATAGCTTTAACCATGTTATGAAGCTACACAAACAATAGTGAAACAAGCTTGTATTTTGGGTAGTGATTTATTAAGACAGTTGAACTAAGCTCCTGAGGCATTTATATAAATGATAGTCTTCAAGAATCAATGTCTATGTATCAATAATTGAATAGTCCAATAATGGATGTAGCAATCCCAGATGTAGCAATTGCCCCTTTTAACACACCTACTAGATGTCTAAAACATGTCCTTTCTGTGGGTTTTAGTCCAGCCAACTCTGCCCAACTGTCTCCCTGGCTACATACGACCACAGTTCTTGACTCCGACACCTTCACATGGGGATGTCCATCATGCTGCTGTGGGTCACCTGTACCAGCTCGATGCCCGAGTAAAAACCTCCCATGCCAAGTAAGAGTACCTCTCTCACCTACATCACCTTACTGTCCAAAACTCCATTGACTTCCCCTGTTGTTTTACCTCTGGACTGACTGCAGAGACACCACACCACTTAGCAATGCTAGTTTTTTTTAATTCAATCTGAAACTGAACTTGAAACCAGCTTGAACAGCACATGAAAAACCGGAACATGAATGAGATGAACAGAGTTTGATATGAACAAAATACTCCTTGGCATCCTCACGCTTGTCCAGGGGTTGTAACTTTTCTGTCTTTCTGCTTCCTCTAAGGATATTTGACTTCCAGGTCAGCGGCCCTCCCAACATGACCAAGAAGATCCAGGATGAGGGCTTTGGTGTCACGAGGCTCTTCCTGGGCTGGACCCCGCAGGAAAGCCACCTGAAACAAAACATTCCCATCTGTTTCACTGCCGAGACAAATGAGAGGTACGTTAAAGGGACATTTACAGTAGTTGTTGTGGTTGTTGTTGGTGTTGTTCTGTGGTCATTGTTGTTCTTAATTTCAGCCAATCAGAGATGAGATGTGTGGTTGTGGCGGTGGCCAAAGGCCTCGCACTTACAGGTCAGTTGATTTTCACCACCTCCAATCATTGCACTGTTGCTAGATAGACTTCCATGTATGATATAGGGTAAGATCCAATCCTAACATGATGATACACACATAACCCCTCATCTCCTCTGGGTACAGGTGAGGCGAATGTTTCGTGCACAGCGAATAGAATCACCATCGTCGTGAGCAAGGCCTATCTGCCTGAGATGGACATGAAGTGGCTGCGGCTAGCAGACTCCTCCTGCTCCCTGACCTCCAACCAAACACACATCATGGGTACCATGTCACTCAACTCCTGTGGCACAAAGATGGAGGTATGAGACACACACACACATCACATACTTGGAGGCATGCCCTCTCTTTCTCCTCTCTTGTGTTTTGCTTCTTGTCTTCCTAAATCTGGTTTCTCTCTCCTCCTCTATCTAGGATGCAGGTGACTTCATGGTGTTCAAAAACGAAATCAACTCCTTCGACGCGGTCAACGCAACCATCACGCGACATAACCGGATCAACATCGTCTTCTCCTGCCGGTACCCCAAGACTGTCAGCTTTTCCAACTACTACCAGATCCACAGCTCCAACTACATGTTCACCCAGTCCAACTTTGGTAGCTTCGGCTACACATTTGAGGTCTTCAGGGACAGTAAGTTCAGCCAGAAGGTGGATCCCAGTGCTTACCCAGTGAAGGCGAAGCTGATGGACAAGCTCTACATGGGCATCCAGGCCCAGTCTGATCTGCCCAAGGTACAGCTGTTGGTGGAGTCTTGCAAAGCCACCCCTGATGACAGCGCCAGCAGCAGTGTCTTCTACGACCTCATCAAAGACGGGTGAGGGGGGGGGGGGGGTCGCACAAAAGGGCTTTGGGCTTGAAGCTGTGAAAGAGGAATAGCAGGAACCTGCCCGTCGTACTGTCTTTCTTACATATTGAACCTTTATTTAGGCAGGGCGGAGTCCCATTGAGACCAAGGCCTCCTTTACAAGGGAGCCCTGCATGACAAACAATTACACACCCAAGGCAGCATAGGAAGTACACGACATGTTTCCTGGTTTACCAACCCTGTTGCATTATGTGGCTTGAAATGCTAATCTTGTTTTGTTCACACTTAAGAGTAAAAATGATGAGAATGACCGGTTACATTGAACAAAATATAAACGCAATGTTCAATGCAAATCTTATTTTGTTCACCTGCAAGAGTAAAGAATGTGTGAACAACAGGTAACAGTCAACATAATGTCGTATTCCAAAATGGTAAACAATGCTGCTTTGTTTTCCCTAACAATTTGTTTTGTTTTCCACAATTGCTATTTGTCTATCAGCCTATTGACTAAGAGCAACACAACATGCTATTGTCAAGCGCTATTTGTCTATCAGTCCATTGACTAAGAGCAGCACAACATGCTATTGTCAAGCTTAAAATGGGACTGAGAGATTGCGAAACGTAATCATGAATTAATTTGTCTCCATCCTGTCTTAGTAAAATGTTATTTCTTTCTTTCTTTCTTTCTTTTTCAATGAAGGTGTCTAAAGGATGAGACTGTCAAAGTTTATCCCGGTAACCTAACCCAATTCTACTTTGAGGTCCAGGCCTTCAAATTCACTGGGAGCTACGATCAGGTAAAACTTCACATCAAAATGAGTTTACTTAACGTTCTTTCTTTCTTAGTTATATTTACTCACTTTATTAGAGTATAATCATGTTGCATCAATATGGAATTTACCTGAAGTCATCAAAATGCACAGATTTTGTCTTATTTAGACCCAGATTTCAACCTGTGATAAATGTGTATTTCACATTATTTCAATGAAATATCGATCCAAATGGTTGATTGTGGATGTTGATCCAGTATTAGGAAAATCTTCTTGGATGGTTCATCTCCCTTTCACATCCCATGACCCTCCTTTAGGTGTACCTCACCTGTACCGTCATCCTGTGTGAGCTGGGAAACCCCAACTCTAGGTGTGCCCAGGGCTGCCTGAACAAAGGCTTGCAGAGGCGCAGGCGAGAGCTCCCCAACGGAGAGACAGACAGGCACTACATAACCCAGGGTCCTTTCCTTGTGGTCAGAGAGGCCCAGCCCGGTGCAGACCAGAAGACCGGTGCAGTCGAGGAGACGGGTGCAGGCGAAAAGACCCGTGCAGGTAATTACCCCGCTTTTTATGGAATGACAACATTACAGAATTTGGTACCTGGAGGAAAACGGGGACGGGTCATGCTTTTTCAATTTCAGTCACAGAGGGTTTAGTATTTTTTGACATCTAGTCCCGGGGAGGGTCATGTAATTTATGAAATGTAAATATTTCTCAGTGTTTTAGAATGAGTTGCTTATTAGGCTCTATATCGATGTGTTCCCGACGCCGCCCCTCATCTCTGACTCTCCGCTGGGCGCGCAATATCAAGTGAGCCTATAGGCTATTTAGCGTGGTCTCAATCATATGATCCATAGCCTATAGGCTATTTAGCGTGTCTCATCATAGATCCAAACCATAGGTATTTAGCTGGTCTCATCATAGATCATGCCCGTGGCTATTAGCGTGGTCTCAACATAGATCCAACTAGGCTGAATTACACTCTGCAATGGATATTCCAACCCTGAGCCCTGGACCTGCTCTGCTCTTGCCGATCAAATAACGTTTTTGTGTGCTGCCTGACCAATGGCTGTGCTGTGTAGGCCTATGGTGGCAGTTCAGGAGGAGAGTCAAAGGCTTCCTCTGAAAAGTTTTTTTTTCATTAGGCCTAGTCCAAAAAATGTACTATTTTGCGCTCAGATTAGCCTATAGCCTATGTTCTGTTCAGCTTGAGAATGAGAGCGCGAAGGTGAGAAGGAGGACCAGAGGTCAACTCTGATAGCTTGCTACCACTATAATTGATTTGATTAAAAACAATATGTTTCTTGCCCATGATGTATTTATCAGAGTTATTGACCTCACAATAAGCCAGATTCGAGTAACTTGCATTGTTGTGCTAGAAACTAGAAGCAGCAGCCGCGGCACAATCAATCGGAAATGAACAGCTCATCGTGCTGAAATTAGGCAAATTCCATTAGGCATAATTCATTTCAACTGTCTTCATTTTAATTAGACTTTACTAACAACAAGAGGGCTTTGTGTTGGAGCCTATTTCTTCCTATTGAAGAAATAAGAGGTAGGCCTACCTGTTTGACAGATGAAATTAGGCCATAGGCTGCTATATCCATAGATGTGTCTGTCAATTCCTCCACCCACCATGCACTCTTTAAATCAACCTTTTTAAAATAGCCTACCTCTGTGTCAGGGAAGGGCTGTTAAGTTAAAACCAGGACTCGAATTGAGGGGGTATGGGAGGGGATTCCATAGGCCTACCTTTTATTAAAGAATATAGCAAAAATTCATAGGCCTACCCTTTGTTAGCTTAAGATTTTGAAGAAAATAAAACTGATCCGATTATATAAAAGTGATCTATAACAGCGCTTTGGTCCGTGATGCTATACTCTAGAAACAAGCTGTAAAATACCCGGGAAAGACGCGACTCCGGTGCATATGGGGATATCATTGTTTAGTTTCTTTGACATTCAGAGGCGGAGCTACAACCGAGGAGACCAAAAATGGACTTTGCTTGGAAAGTAATCTAATTCTGTCACTATCAATTGATTAAGCTATTCACTTTCTGTACAACAGAAGATGTTTAAACCCAGACAGCTTTTAGGGAAACACTTGTGACCTTCTCTCGTTGGATTAAGCCACGGAAGAAGAGTAGTTAGCAGTTAAAGCTTACATCTTTCTGCGTCGTTAGGCCTACTCTGTCCAAGGACAATGCTCAGATTCCTAATGACGTCTCAGATGTAATTATTTGCAAACAGGAACAGTTTCGTTGCAAACAAGACACACTGATTTGGCATTGGAGAGATATGATAAGATGAACAAATACGCATATCTATCTGTCTATTCTTAGCTGTAATTTGGGTCATTTGTGTGGTATTAAAAAATATTCTACTAATATGTAAAATGATGTAGAATTGCATGACATTTTTATAAAAGGCTATTTATTCTCGGACCTGCACATACGATGATAGATTCATGGATTGCTTTTACTGTAAAGGAGATGTTTCCACCCCTACTCTTGTCCACGGTGGTCTGTGAACCCACAACCTTCTGGCCCGCAGACCTGTGCACTATCAACATTCCTGCGTTGCCAAATAATGCATACAGGACAAAGAACAGTTTCTACATTTGCATATCTAAGGCTCTGCTCTGTCCAAGAAGTGAGAGTAAACGTTAGATATGTTCTCTGCTTTTCCACTTTGTTTTAATTATTATTTTGGGTATAAGGGAGGGTCACTTAATTTTTTATTTTTTATGTAAGCGTTCAGGGAGGGTTTGGTAAAATACTGTATATTTTGCTGAAGGGAGGGCCATCCATTTTCATTTCTGAGTGGTCCGATTTCCTCCATGTAACCGTTATTATAAATAACGTTCACTCCTTTAGTAAAGGGTTAATTCACATCAGGATTAGACCAGAGAAACACCAGTATGTCCCAGACAATTATGTTGAAGCATTTAGGATTAGGTTATATGGTTAACCAGACCTAAAACATAACCCTAAACATGCTGACTGGATGGACTGTGTCCCAATACTTTTTCATGACTGCCTTTCCTTTGCCTGCCTTTTCCTAAACGAACAGATCCAAACTCCATTCCTCTGATGTCATTATGTTGTTTTTGCTGTTGATTGCAGCTCCTGTTGTAGACGCGGAAGCTCCATATTTTCTCAGATCGGACATGGGAACCATAGTCTTCGCCGGGTTGTTCATCATGACCTTGATGCTGCTGGGTGTGGTCGTGGTCTATTTGTTGAAGAAGAGGAGGGCTGAAGAACGCAAGGCTCTCATTGCATTTGATTAGAGAAGTGGAACTGGATTTGTGCCTGACCAGGATCATGTGACTGACCATACTTCTGGTTTACCCAAAGTAAAGCACGTCTTTCTTTTTTTTCAATCAAATTTGTATTTACTTTTAACAACAAATTAACACTAGTTTACATACTGAATACGGTAACATGAACTACACAAATGAACACTAGTTTACATACTGAATACGGTAACATTAACTACACACATTAACACTAGTTTACATACTGAATACGGTAACATTAACTACACACATTAACACTAGTTTACATACTGAATACCGTAACATTAACACTAGTTTACATACTGAATACGGTAACATTAACACTAGTTTACATACTGAATACGGTAACATTAACACTAGTTTACATACTGAATACGGTAACATTAACACTAGTTTACATACTGAATACGGTAACATTAACACTAGTTTACATACTGAATACGGTAACATTAACTACACAAATGTAGTTAGTTCATTCTCATTCCCTATAACATTCTTCTTTTTTTATTTTTCAAAACAATTTCAACATGCTAGACATCTAGTTTTTTTTAGAGGTTGGATCAACTCCTGAATCAAGAAAATGGAAAAAAATAATGATAATGACAATCCTGTTATGCAAATAAGTCTGTATTGATTAAATACATTTTAGGCAAAAGTCCTCTCTTACTGTTCTCTGCCTCAACACTCACCACTCATTCAAACATGATTAACTCCTTTAAAGGGGCAATTATTTTGTTACTAATAAATTAATGATATGTACCCATTGATTCTTGAAGAATATTTATAAATGCCTCATGAGCTTAGTTCAAGTGTCGTACCCCATCAGAACCCAAAATATAAGCTTGTTTTACTTCAATGTTTGTAAACAAAGTAAAGGTAAACAAACTATATAGCCTCCGAACATGTTTCTTAGCTATGGATCCTTGCAGCTATAGTGCCGTATATGAATTTGAGGGTGGTTACATTTCTCCAGCCCCGTCCCTCAGCTTTTTACCGAAACAGGGGCAGGGTGCCTGGTCTTCTCCATTTAGCATGTTTAACTATGCAGAACCACCTCTTTTGTCAAAGCTTTGCCTGGTCTTCCCTATTTAGCATGTTTAAATATGCAGAACCACCTCTTCTGTCGAAGCTTTGCCTGGTCTTCTCCATTTAGCATGTTTAACTATGCAGAACCACCTCTTCTGTCAAAGCTTTGCCTGGTCTTCCCTATTTAGCATGTTTAACTATGCAGAACCACCTCTTCTGTCGAAGCTTTGCCTGGTCTTCTCCATTTAGCATGTTTAACTATGCAGAACCACCTCTTCTGTCAAAGCTTTGCCTGGTCTTCTCCATTTAGCATATTTAACTATGCAGAACCACCTCTTCTGTCAAAGCTTTGCCTGGTCTTCCCTATTTAGCATGTTTAACTATGCAGAACCACCTCTTCTGTCGAAGCTTTGCCTGGTCTTCCCTATTTAGCATGTTTAACTATGCAGAACCACCTCTTCTGTCGAAGCTTTGCCTGGTCTTCTCCATTTAGCATGTTTAAATATGCAGAACCACCTCTTCTGTCGAAGCTTTGCCTGGTCTTCTCCATTTAGCATGTTTAACTATCTCCGTTTAACTATGCAGAACCACCTCTTCTGTCGAAGCTTTGCCTGGTCTTCTCCATTTAGCATGTTTAACTATGCAGAACCACCTCTTCTGTCGAAGCTTTGCCTGGTCTTCCCTATTTAGCATGTTTAACTATGCAGAACCACCTCTTCTGTCGAAGCTTTGCCTGGTCTTCTCCATTTAGCATGTTTAACTATGCAGAACCACCTCTTCTGTCAAAGCTTTGCCTGGTCTTCCCTATTTAGCATGTTTAACTATGCAGAACCACCTCTTCTGTCGAAGCTTTGCCTGGTCTTCTCCATTTAGCATGTTTAAATATGCAGAACCACCTCTTCTGTCGAAGCTTTGCCTGGTCTTCTCCATTTAGCATGTTTAACTATGCAGAACCACCTCTTCTACCTGTTCTAGATAGATGCACATATGTCAATATCATATACTGAATATGTCATCAGACATCAACACCTATTAAGCTCTTGTTTACAATTGACAGATAGGAAAATTAGGGAATGACTTGTATATAATCATCATTATTGTAATGGCAGGTTTAATAACCCTCAGTTACCAGGCTGTTAGTGTAATTATAGAGAAGTGATCTACCCTTTATGAGCGTTTGGCCCACACTGAATGAGTTCCATTTCGAGAGCTTGGTTCAATCTGCATTATTGTCAAAATTGAGTTATTGACATAGCCTTGTTCTGTTCAATGTCCTCCACCTATATATTACTTGAAATACCCCAATTCATGTTAAGTTCAAAAGAATACAATTTAAAAAAAACTGCTGACACCATTCAAACCAATGAGGAAAATGTAAAGCCAATAATCTCCATATTTTTTGCAGATAGAACCTTAGAGTCCAAAGCTCTCAAATTGTTTGTTTATGTCATGACCTCTACTACCTGCCGCTCTCACCATTGGTTTGTTTCTGAGTCTGCTACAGTGGTGTGAAGTGCTTAAGTAAAAATACTTTAAAGTACAACTTAAGTCGTTTTTTGGGGGTATCTGCACTTTACTTAACTATTTATATTTTTGTCTACGTTTACTTTAACCCCACTACATTCTTAAAGAAAACAATGTACTTTCTACTCCATACATTTTCCCTGACACCCAAAATACTTGTTACATTTTGAATGCTTAGCAGGACAGGAAAATTGTCAAATTCACAAACTTATCAAGAGAACATCCCTGGTCATCCCTAGTGCCTCTGATCTGGCGGACTCACTAAACACAATTACTTTGTTTGTAAATTATGTCTGAATGTTGGAGTGTGATTCTGGCTATCAGTAAATTTAAAAAATAAGACAATTGTGCCATCTGGTTTGCTTAATATAAGGAATTTGAAATGATTTATACTTTTACTTTTGATACTTACGTATATTTTAGCAATTACATTTACTTTTGATACTTAAGTATATTTAAAACCAAATACTTTTAGACTTTTACTCAAGTTGTATTTTGCTGGGTGACTTTCACAATTTCTATTAAGGTATCTATACTTTGACTCAAGTATGACTTTTGGGTACTTTTTCCACCACTGGTCTGCTAATACTGTAAATACTATCATTCAAATGACTGTGTTAAAAGTGCCACTGGAATAAACACTAATTCACCAAAACTTTTACAAAAATAGAAACATGGATACATAGTTAGGCTACACCCGCAGTAATGTGAGCACTTGAGTGGGGAGTTTTGAGGGTAGAATAGCTCTGAAGAGGAGATTCACCCTTCACTCAAGAGGATGGACCATCGTAGGAGGACAACATGCAGGCAAATAAGAAAAGGACAGCATATCGGACTTTAAATGCTTCTACTTTAGTGTTGAAAGTAACAGTGCCTTCAGAAAGTATTCATACCCCTTTGCCTTATTCCACATCTTGTTGTGTTACAGCCTGAATTCAAAATGGATTCCATAGATTTCTCTCTCACCCATCTACATGCAATAATCCCATAATGACAAAGTGAAAACATGTTTTTAGAGAGTTGAGAAAATTTGTATAAAATGAAATACAGATATCTCATTTACATAAGTATTCACACCCCTGAGTCAATACATGTTAGAATTACCTTTGGCTGCAATTACAGTTGTGAGTCTTTCTGGGTAAGTCTCTTAAAAGAGCTTTGCACACCTGGATTGTACAATATTTGCACATTATTCTTTTTAAAAATTCTTCAAGCTCTGTCAAGTTGGATATTGATCATTGCTAGACAGCCATTTTTCAAGTTTTGCCATAGATTTTCAAGCCACTTTAAGTCAAAACTGTCCCTAGGCCACTCAGGAACATTGAAGATCGTCTTGGTAAGCAACTCCAGTGTATATTTGGCCTTGTGTTTTAGGTTATTTTCCTGCTGAAAGGTGAATTTGTCTCCCAGTGTCTGGTGGAAAGAAGACTGAAACAGGTTTTCCACTAGGATTTTGCATGTGCTTAGCTCTATTCTATTTATTTTTATCCTACAAATCTCCCTAGTCCTTGACAATGACAAGCATACCCATAACATGATGCAACCACCACCAAGCTTGAAAATATGAAGAGTGGTACTCAGTAATGTGTGTTGGATTTGACCCAAACATAACACTTTGTATTCAGGACATAAAGTTAATTTATTGGCCACATTTGTTGCTGTTTTACTTTAGTGCCTTATTGCAAGCAGGATGCATGTTTTGGAAAAATTTTATTCTGTACAGGCTTCCTTCTTTTCACTCTGTCATTTAGGTTAGTATTGCAGAGTAACTACAATGTTGTTGATCCATCCTCAGTTTTTTCCTATCACAGCCATTAAACTCTGTGACTGTTTTAAAGTCACCATTGGTGAAATCCCTGAGTGGTTTCCTTCTTCTCCGGCAACTGAGTTAGGAAGGGCAGCTGTATCTTTGTAGTGACTGGGTGTATTGATACACCATCCAAAGTGTAATTAATAACTTAATCATGCTCAAAGGGATATTCAATGTCTGCTTTTTCTATTACCAATAGGAGCCCTTCTTAGCGAGGCATTGGAAAACCTCCCTGGTCTTTGTGGTTGAATCTGTCTTTGAAATTCACTGCTCTACTGAGGGACTTTACAGATACAGTGGGGGAAAAAAGTATTTAGTCAGCCACCAATTGTGCAAGTTCTCCCACTTAAAAAGATGAGAGAGGCCTGTAATTTTCATCATAGGTACACGTCAACTATGACAGACAAATTGAGGAAAAAAATTCCAGAAAATCACATTGTAGGATTTTTAATGAATTTATTTGCAAATTATGGTGGAAAATAAGTATTTGGTCACCTACAAACAAGCAAGATTTCTGGCTCTCACAGACCTGTAACTTCTTCTTTAAGAGGCTCCTCTGTCCTCCACTCGTTACCTGTATTAATGGCACCTGTTTGAACTTGTTATCAGTATAAAAGACACCTGTCCACAACCTCAAACAGTCACACTCCAAACTCCACTATGGCCAAGACCAAAGAGCTGTCAAAGGACACCAGAAACAAAATTGTAGACCTGCACCAGGCTGGGAAGACTGAATCTGCAATAGGTAAGCAGCTTGGTTTGAAGAAATCAACTGT